GGGCCACATTGTTCAGAAAGCGGACACATTAGGAAGGGGAAGACGTTCCAAGCAAGGGTGCCCATGCGAGCAAGAGCTCAGACGGAGACAAGATGCTGCATCTGGAGGGACGGCCAGACTCATGGACACAGGGCTCCCACTAGACAGTGTCCTCATCAACAGTCGACTTTGTAAAGACAGACCCTGCTAACAGCCATGCTCTAGTTTAGATATTAACCTACAGAGACACGGACTCGGTTTCCGTGCATGGTTCTGTGAAGCCTAAGACATGTGGCCTTCTGCGTAGCCGCCCCCACAGTGAGGACCCTTCACCCCAGAGCCGTCCCCCTGCTTTCCCATCGTGCCCACACCACAGCCTCCCCTCGCCCATCCCTGTGCCCTGGCGACTGATGCCCTGCTCGCCCTCACTGCGGTTTAATCGTTAGAAGAACGTCACATGAATGAGTCCACACGGCAGGAACTCTTCTGGGAGTGGTTGCTTCTGTCAGCCTGACACCTTGGAGAGGCCTTGAGTTCCCGGGTGTATCAAACGTTCGTCCAGTCTTGCTGCTGTGTGGTCCTCCCCTGTGCGGACATGCCACTCGTCTACCTTTCCTCTCACTGATGAGCATGTGTTGTTGCCGATTTAGTGATCAGGAATTGAGCTGCTAATAAACATTCATGGACAGGTTTTTTTAATGAACATAAGTTTTCATTTAAGATTGAAATTACTTTTCCCTCAAAAAATTGGTGACCAATATATTCATTACAAAAAAAAAAAAAAAAATCACTTCCAGAAATATTTTTTTCCTTTTACCATTCAAAGCAGGAAGCAGGATTGCTGGGTCCTACCGGGAAGTAGATGGTTAACTTTATAAGTAGCTGCCAAATTGTTTGACAGAGGGACTGTACCATTTTGCATTCTTACCAGCAATGCAAGAGTGCTCCCGGTGCCCCACATCCTCGCCAACACTTAGTATTGTCGGTACTTTTAATTTTGTCCACCGTGATATATGTGTCTCCCCGGGGCTTTGAGGTGCATTTTCCTAGTGGCTGACAATGTCGAGCAGCTTTTCACATGCCCGTCCTGTCTCATGCCGCATTGATTCCGTGTTTGGTCCATCATTTTAAACTGGGTTGTTTTTTTAACCGTTGAGTTTTGAGAGCTCTTTACATATTCTGGTTTCAAGTGTTTTGTCAGTTGTGTGTTTTGCACATATTTTCTCTAGTCTGTAGTTTGACTTTTTATTCTTTTAACAGTGTCTTTTGCAAAACCAAAGTTTTAAATTTTATGGGCCATTCCTTGGGTGTCATGTCTCAGGAATATGCTTTCTTCTAAAATCGTATAGTTTTACATTGTACATAAAGATCTATAGTCCATTTTGAGTTCATTTTTGGATAAGGTGCGACACTGGGTTGAGGTCCATTTTTTTGGATATTCAGACGCAATTGTTCCAATACCATTTGTTGAAAATATTATTGAATGGTCTTCGCACCTTTCTCAAGGATCAGCAGGTCACATTTGGGTGGGCCTGTTTCTGGACACGATGGTGTCTGCCCATCTATGTGTCTGTCTCCCCTCCAACACCACACTCCCTTGGTTACTTTCACTCTATAGAAATCTGAAATTCAAAGATATGCTACCTCGAGCTTTATACTTCTTTTCCACCATTGCTGGGCTATTTCGGTCCCTTTGCATATCTGGATAGTCTTAGAAACAGCTTGTCTGCATCTGAACAAAACCCTGTTGGGACTTTGATAGGATGTGCATTAGATCTGTAGAGCTATTTGGGGAGAGTCGACACCTTTACCACGCTGAGCCATCCCATCCACGAACACAGAACGTTTCTCTGCTCGCTCTTTGCTTTCTTCCCTCAGCATTTCCTGGGGTTTAGCATAGAAATCCTATACGTATTTTCCTAGATTTATGCCTGGTGCTCTTATACATGTAGTGTTTTCAAATTTTGCTTTTTCTAACTGTTCATTGCTTAGTGTATAGAAATGTGATTGGCTACATGTCATTTTACTACCAGGCCATTCCAGATATAACAATACAGTTGGAACCAGGTGACTACCTCAGATCACTTGTGCAGTGGACAATTTGCAACCAGGAGTCCAGGTCAAGTCCGTACTCAGCAGGCTTCGCTGCACATGTAACAAAAGAAATGTGTGGCTCCACCAAGGGCCTTCTGTCTACTTAAGATCAACGCTGTGTGTGAGGCTCTGTATTCAAAATGATCTGCACAGTCTGCATGTTAACCCAACACACAGTGAATGCATATTGTTTGCTAAGTTCTGTGCTGAGGGCTATAAATACACCAACCACCTTTTCCATGAATGGCTCTGACCCCTGATGTTGTAGCTCCCAGAGCCAAAATGCAATTTACCAACTTCATGCGCTCCTTTAAATTACTTTTCCCTCAAAAGATTGGTGACCGATATATTTATTATAAATATCACAAAATACATAATTTGTCTTATAGCATTCAAAGCAGGTGTGCATAATTCACATGAGAAACATTACTACCTATGTAAACCTCATTATCTATCTCACAACATAAATAAGTTTTAATAATATGAGATCTGCATAATATTACCTAACATTCACTTCTGTAAAAACCTCTCGTGTAGTTTAAGATATTTTTCTAGTTTAATCGCAGGCTGTATGAGTTACAGGTGCCCGATGCCTCTATGACTCAATATCCAATACAGAGCATGCAGAAAAACGGTGTATGAACACCAAGAGGAGAGCAAGGTGGACTGGATTTCGAGCTGATTTCATTATTTCAGACCATTTGGATGGTGTCTCATAAATAACCACCTGCAGGACATATCAGACACTTAAAAGATACTTGTCTTAAAGTAAGTAATTTAAATCATTTCCTGGCTCATCCGTTTTGCTTTTTAATTCTTAATTTTGCGCTCACTCTTTCATTGGAGAAGAATATACAGCGTCTGCGTGCTGATTGAGTGTGATCGGCCAGTGAAGTCAGGCAGTTGGAAATCAGGTGAAAGACAAGGATGCGGGGAAGGGGAGCAGATTATTCGGGTCCCTGCAGCATCAGCAGAGCATGAGTTAGAATAAGCAGGCTCAGGGGTTTTGGCGGGAACAGAACCCCTCTGGCTCTATCCCTGCTATGCCCACATCTCCAGGCTCAGTGCCCACGGCCACCCGGCTCCCTGTGCCCTCCTCCAGGCGCGAGCGGGGAGTCCTGAGCGGCGGGGCTCCCAGCCGGCCGTTGGGGCCGCACACTCAGGGTGCTCGTGGATGAGCAGCGCGGGAGGCCGACGACCCACTGGGTCTGCAGGGTGAGCTGGAGCCGGCTCCCCGCAGGAGACCCCTGCAGAGTGACCAGGGCGGGGGCGGAGGAAGGGCATTGCGGGCAGCAAGGAGCCCCTCCGGAGGCAGGGCCTGGGTGCGGGGAGGGTGCCTGCTGGACCCAGGTGAGGGAGGGCAGAGGCCCGGCCAATAGGCCCGCGGGTACTGGAGGTCTAAAGGACCGGGGCCTGCCGGGGCTGGGGCGGCACGGGGGGCAGAGAAGTCCGTCGGGGGGCCTGCTTAGCTTAGCACCGGGAGTGGGCAGGTCGTGGCGCTTGAAGGGTGAGCCGGGCACGGGACGTCCCAGGGAACTGGTGGGGCCCGGGTGACCTTGTCCACAGCCCAGTGAGGTGGTGGGCCATCAGAGCAAAGACCAGCGCTCAGGGGGTAGTGCATACCTGCACGCCGAGTGGAGTGGGTTCGCAGCGGCCCTCCAGCCAGAGAGAAGGTGCTCTGTGTGGGGAAGCCGAAGCAGGGGGTGGTCAGGAGGGAAGGGGGGAGAGGACCGCCGGGTTTGCCGATGTGTCTGCGCTGGCAAGGGAAGGATCAGAGGAGCTCCGCCAGCTTTTATTTTATCGTCTGTCAGTAGTGGGGAGGGGAACGGATGCAAGGATGCGTTCGAGAAAGACCAGATGCGTTCCCAGAGGCAAGGGTGACCGCTGGGTTTCAGAGCCCGGGGTTCTGAGGCAGGAAAGCGGGCATCTGGGGACAGCCTGACATGTCCCCAGCCAGTGGGTGCCGGACGCACTGCACCTGTCACTGCAACCAAGCCCCCTCGGGGTACTGCGGCCACCGGTTAGATGAGGCCCACCAAAGGCCTTAAATTCTGGAGACGCATGCTTTGGACTCCGTGGAGGCAAAGTGTCTCCTGAAGAAGGGCTGCATCTCACACAGCAAGCACAAAGCTGATGAGGGAAGGGAGCGCCTCCAGGGACCTCAGCACGTGTAAGGGAAATGCCCCTGGGAACTTCTCCCTCATGTTCTTCCCCGTGCATGTCACTGGGTGAGCAGGAGAGCCCCGGGGTCAGCTCTGCAAGCTCGCCTCCCCGAGCGCTCTGTGCGCAGGCGGCACTCAGCCCATGGTGGAGGGGTGCGTGGAGGCTGCTGAGCTGTGGACATCGCTCCCCGCCGCACATTCCCTGTCCTCTCTGAAGCACTTCCTGAGCTGGGAAGAGCTGGGCACTGTTCCCCACAGCCTTCCCGCTGCTCAAGATCTGGAAGAGGTCTTCCCAAACTGGGCCAGTGCCTGCACTGTGACCTGGGATGCTGATTTTAAGAAATGGAGCTTCGTTCACGTGATGCAACCCCTTCAAAGCTCATGGTGGGGTTTTTTTGCCGTTAATTCCCGAGTATTCTCCTTTATCCACAGCAGAAGCTCAGGGAAGTGGTAGCTTTCTCATACGGCTTACTTACCCTGCGCCCGTCTCCAGCAGACTCCCCCTTACATTCCCCTCCCTTGCCCTGTGCTGTGACTTTGGGGGCCCCAACGTTGGGTGCATGGTGGAGATGCTTCGGGCACATCCAGACATGCTGCCTGGGATCCCCTGCCAGCCCCAGGAGTGTCCTGGGTCATGGCAGCTGTGCCGCAGTATAAGGTCCTGATCCCAGAGATGCATCCCCAGGAAAGAAGAGAGGCAGCTCTCCCAGGGGGGCAGAGCAGAGGGTGGGACCCAACCTGAGCTCAGCGCACCCTCTCTTTCAGGATGGACATCACGCAGCGAGAACTACCCACTACGGCTCCCTGCCCCAGAAGTCGCAGCACGGCCGGCCCCAAGATGAAAACCCTGTAGTGCACTTCTTCAAGAACATTGTAAGTGCTCCCATCCCACTGTGAGCGGCAGGCTGCCGGGAGAATCGAGATTGCAGGGGGCAGCAGGTGCCTGGCCACGGCCTCATCCACAGGGGACCTGAGTCTGCCCCAGATGACCCTGAGTTCTAATCATGAGGGGTTTGAGTATATTCCCAGATGACACTGATTCTAATCATGAGGGGACCTGGGTCTATCCCCAGATGACCCTGACTCTAATCCACAGAGGACCTGAGTCTATCCCCAGATGATCCTGAGCTCTAATCATGAGAGGATTGAGTATATCCCCAGATGACCCTGAACTCTAATCCATGGGGCACCTAAGTATATCCCCAGATGATCCTGAACTCTAATCATGAGGGGTTTGTGTATATCTCCAGATGACCCTGAGCTCTAATCCACAGGGGACCTGAGTCTATCCCCAGATGACCCTGAGCTCTAATCCACAGGGGACCTGAGTCTATCCCCAGATGACCCTGAGCTCTAATCCACAGGGGACCTGAGTATATCCCCAGATGACCCTGAACTCTAATCCATGGGGCACCTAAGTATATCCCCAGATGATCCTGAACTCTAATCATGAGGGGTTTGTGTATATCCCCAAATGATCCTGAGCTCTAATCATGAGAGGTTGAGATATCTCCAGATGACCCTGAACTCTAATCCATGGGGCACCTAAGTATATCCCCAGATAATCCTGAGCTCTAATCATGAGGGGTTTGTGTATATCTCCAGATGACCCTGAGCTCTAATCCACAGGGGACCTGAGTCTATCCCCAGATGACCCTGAGCTCTAATCCACAGGGGACCTGAGTCTATCCCCAGATGACCCTGAGCTCTAATCCATGGGGGGCCTGAGTCTATCTCTAGATGACCCTGAACTCTAATCCATGGGGGGCCTGAGTATATGCCCAGATGACCCTGAGCTCTAATCCAAAGCGTCCTGAGTCTATCCCTAGATGACTCTGAGCTCTAATCCATGGGGGGCCTGAGTCTATCCCCAGATGACCCTGAGCTCTAATCCATGGGGGGCCTGAGTCTATCCCCAGGTGACCCTGAGCTCTAATCCATGGGGGGCCTGAGTCTATCCCCAGGTGACCCTGAGCTCTAATCCATGGGGGGCCTGAGTCTATCCCCAGGTGACCCTGAGCTCTAATCCATGGGGGGCCTGAGTCTATCCCCAGGTGACCCTGAGCTCTAATCCATGGGGTGCCTGAGTCTATCCCAGATGACCCTGAGCTCTAATCCATGAGGGGCCTGACTCTATCCCCAGGTGACCCTGAGCTCTAATCCACAAGGGACATGAGTCTATCCCCGATGATGCCTCCCTCCTCCTCAGGGTGAGGTTGGCCATGGGAGCTCAGCCCTAGAACCTGGTCACAAGGTCCAAACTGCATCTGCCACTTACTGAATCTTATGTTCTAGAAAAGAACTCACTCCTTTTGAGACTAAAGGACTATGAGACTCTTAGTTTAAAAACACAGGCTTTGCAAAACTATGGAGACAAAAAGATTAAAGAGATGCCAAGAGGAGTGGTTATCAGAGTTTGTGGGCAGGGAGGGGAACAGGGGGAGCACAGAGGGCTTGGGGGCCGTGGGCCTACTGTGTGAGCCCTTCCTCCCTCCGGGCTGGTGGACGCCTGACATCGCACATTTGTGCAAACCCACAGAACGTACACCATGAGCGTGACCTTACCATGTGCTACGATTCCCTGAAAAGAAGTGCATCGGCCTTGGTTCCCGGCTCATAACACACGAGCCACGCGCATGCGAGGCCGTAATAAATGGGGAAACAGTGAGCAGGACAAGAGGGCGGACGTGGCAACTCTCTAATTTCTATGCATTCTTTCTAGAAACTTAAGACTGCTCTCAAAAATAAAGATTGAAAAACAAAAGCAAAGCCACGAGCTTCTAATCCTAAACTTTTTGTGTAGCGGGCATTTTAAGAGGGTCTTCTGCATGTTGACAAGTGAGTGTTGGGAGCCCCAGGCCCGAGAACACTCCTCTCAAAGCTCTGAGTACAGGGGACGCTTCACCTCCACCCGAGAAGCAAGGCCCTTAGCAAAGCGAGCTTCGCCCTCACAGCCCGCACACCCAGGAACCACAGCGGGACGAATCGTGCCCCCTTCCCTGAGGGCTGAGTGTTCTGGAAACTCTGCCTGGCATTGGCGTCTCAGGCCCCGTAGTCTCCGAGAACCAGGACAGGAACCGGGAGGCAGAGAGGGGTGACTTCGGAGGCGCCGGGCTGCCAGCCCAACGGGGGCTGGTCAGGAGCAGGAAGGTGAGGGCAGGAGGCTCCCCGGGGAGAGAGGCGCCCACCCCCGCTCACAGGCCTCTGCGTATCTTTGCAGGTGACACCACGCACACCTCCTCCGTCGCAAGGAAAGGTAAGACCTCTGAACGTTGTCCTTAATTCTCACGCCGTCTGTAGACCTTCCCTGAAATCCCCAAATGGACCAAAGAGAGGGCGGGCCTCACGGCTACCTGACGTCACCCCAAATGTGTGCCCCGTGGATCCCAAGCAGCACAGGCTGAGGAAGGAACACGCCCAGCAGAGACTGCTGCCGGCTCCCAGCTCGCTCCCCCCCAACCCTGTCCTAAATCCTTCCCAAATCCACCCTGAGCCGCCCCTGGGATCCCGCAGGGGTCAACACCACTCACCAGCTCAGCACGGCCCCGATCTGTGTTTCTTGTTTATTAAAAGACTTTTCTTCCTGCCTGGATCACAATGTCATTGTTTCTCTCTCTCCCACACAGGGGCGAGGACTGTCCCTCAGCAGATTTAGCTGGGTAGGTGACACTCGCGTGTCCCCGCACCTCCCTCTCCCTTCTGCTCCTCACAGCTGCCCGCGCCTGCACTCTGCTCCGCGAAGCTGCCTCACGGGCCCCCTTCTTCCCTGGCAGGCCCGTTGCCCATGCCGTCGGGGGGCCGCCTTCCCCCCCCGGGGGGAACCCAGGGCCCCCACCGCTGACCCCGCAGGGCCCTGCTTCCTCGCCCGACCGGGCGCCTCCCGGGAAGGAGCAGCTCTGTACCTGAGAAAGTTCCTGACTTCCTTCCAGCCCGAGGGGTGGGACACCAGTCCCCGCGGGCAGGCCCAGGGAGGCCGGGGCCGGCAGGCCATCCAAATAGCCAGCCCTGCCGCCCGACTGACAGGAGGCTGAGGAAACGCGATGCCGCCTCCGGCCACGCGGTCCAATGAAGCCACGAGACCTGGGGTCTGATCGCAGCGTAGCTTAGCCGTCAGCCATCCAGGGACGTCCTCTGAGGAAGGCCGAGAACAAGGTGCCCATCCCGATTGTAAATGGCCACCTTGCTCACTTTCTAGACACCGGTGAAATGTGGTGCCTGAGCCAGCCTAAAATGCCTATCGGCGTTTTCTAACCAAACCTGTAGACTTCGGTTAGTAGTAAAGGCCAGAGTTCTTACTTTACCAAAGCTGCCATCTGCAGAATAAACGGAAAAGTAACCACTCACCTATAGGCCAGGGACCCCGTCTGGCCTGGAAACACAGCCCGAGTCCCTAGTGCAGAGCGTGCGTATACTTGGTGCTCAGTTAATAAGCATCACACACGTGGATGACTAGAGTTTACAAAAAAGACAGAGAAGGAAGGAGGGAAGCGAGAACAGTGAGGGGGAGAGGCACGAGGAGGGGAGGCCCATGGAGAAGGTAGAGGGTTCCATAAGGTTCCTGGATTGCCCCAGCACGTTCTTACATGGAATTTGCTGGAACACTTTATACAAATATATCTGAACCTTTTCCAAAGCTGATGACTTTGCATAAAGGGGCCAAGAGGGTAGGAAACACATGGGCTGGGCCTCGCAGCCAGTTAATTTCTGACTTTCTGTGCCAGCAGGAGACCCAGATGACACTGCAGAAGGAAGTCTTGTTTTGGTAACCCCTTGGTCTGCCTCCTGACTTTCTAGGCATGGACTCTCGGGCATGATGCGGAGTCACTGGGGGACGTGCGGGGTGGGGGAGGAGGCCCTTCCTCCCTCTGGGCATTTAGAGCCCGCTTCACCCAGCAGCTAACCAGAAAGACCTTGCCTTCCCTCCGCGCCTCCATTTTGGGGCTACTAATCTTTACTCAGTTTCTCTTTCTTTTCCAAAGCAAAATCCCCCTCCGTATTTCATTTGCTTGTGTGTCCATTTCCTCGAGCTACAGGACTGCCTTCCTGCTTGGAGTTTGTGAAAGTCGCCCATTCTTCTTCTAAACTCTGTTGAACACTTCTTGGTAAATTCCAGGTTGCCCAAAGATAGAAGTGACCAAAAATTTGAAAGGAGGAAAAGTCAAGCAGATTATTTAATCTGAAAACCTACCCTTGAGTTTTGTTCTCAGAAGCTCCTAGTTCTGGAGGAAAGCAAGAGACAGGAGGATTTGGCCCTGGTCTGTGAGGCTCCGTGGGGCACCTGCACACTGAGCCGTGACCTGTCCCTCCGTGGGATGTCCCGGAGCGAGCGCAGCCATGGAAACCTCTGGACCCCAGGGCTGCCCGCCCTCCACCTGCTGCACCCGCCCCGCAATCCCTCCCTGACACCGCTAGGATAGAGGGATTCCCTGCGTGGATTCCGGGCCCTCCAGCCCATGTGCGTGCACGCTGCAAGGCCTGTGGGCGGAGGCAGAGGGACCTGGGGCTCCACCAGAGGGCGGGTCATTTCCTTGACTAGATTGTTAGGAGCAGACCATAGAGAGTCTCCCCGTCCTGCTGGCAGAATCCAAAGCTCAGACCCTGTCCGCTGAAGACAGACCCGCAGGCCAGACAGCGACCTTACCTGAGCCCCCCCAGCCTGCTTGGCGCCCGCGTGACGTGGTACCCGAGGCTGGAGGTCCCCATACCGCAAACGCTAACCTCCCTGTGTCTGCCCGAGCCCCCCGACTCCTTCCTCGTGTCCACGGGGGATGTTGCCATTTGAAAGTAAAGCATCTTCAAAAACAGACTAGTCCTGGGACGCGGATGTCCTCACCCATCAGCAGTCAGCTGCCATTGCTCTGTGCCTCGCAGGGAAGGTCCTCCCTCCAGCGCGACGGGGGCCCTGGCGCCGGGAGCCGGGCTTGGCCTCTCCTGGAACGATAGCGAGCACGTACCAGGAGCCCACAGGCTCTGTTCACAGAGCAGCGCATCCGTGAACTCCCGGAAGGAGGGGCCGCTTTATCTGCGTTTTATAGAAGAGGAAACTGAGGGTCTGAGTGGCCCTGACGCTTGCCCGAGGTCACACAGCTAGGGAGTGGAGAGCTAGGGCTCCGTGCAGGCCGCTGGGTGCCCGGGGCTGTGCCCTGGTGCACGGCGGCAGGGACACGACTTGCTGGCCGGACCTGCCCCCTCCCTCCTTCATGACCAGCCCAGATCCCGGGACCCCCAGCAGGGGCCACACACCCACTGTCAGGGCACCCAAGCCGTGGCCAGGGGAGCTGGTTTCTGGTCATCCTGGCGAGAGCCTCATCCAGGCCAGAGAATTTGAAGCTTGTCTTTCTGCTTTAGAAAAGTATGGGCCTCAAAATTTTGCTAAGTGCCAAGCTCCATATCCTCCAGACGTCCAGCAGAAGGGGGCAGACGTGAGGAGTCTGCACAGAGAAGTAGACAGGGACCCCCAGCCCAGGAGGGGAGTGCCTCCTGGGGCTGAGAGCGGCCCCTGCGCTCCCTTCCTGCACACAGGTGGGCAAAGGCGGGTCACCTGGTTTTGCTGGACCTTGCCACTCTTGTCTTAAAGCCACACGGTGGAGTGGGTCAGGAGTCTGATCTTTCCGTGAGAGCATTTGGGCACACGTCTGCCCACGCACGGCAGCCTGGGCTGGGCCCCCACTGCGGCGTGGAGCACGGCCCTGGCTCTGCTGGCGGCCCCCCCCCCCAGGGCCCCTCCCTGCCCCGCAGGACCCCTGAGAGCTGTCTGGTCTCTTGCAGGGAGCCGAGGGGCAGAAGCCGGGACTTGGCTACGGAGGCAGAGCTCCAGCTCACAAGGGACTCAAGGGGGCCCATGACGCCCAGGGCACGCTTTCCAAAATCTTCAAACTGGTAAGGTGACCCTTCTCAATGCCAGGGATGCGCTGGGGGGGGGGTGGCGGGGGTGTTCCAGGCTTTCCACACTGTCCCTCTGGGGTTCACCTGCCAGGCTGGCTGGCTCAGGGGCCAGGGCGTATCTGCAGGGGCCGGTCCAGGCTCCCTCGGGGACCTCGAGGACATGTGAGGGGTCCCTCGCGAGGCTCCTCCCTGCTCTGGGGAGGCGGGGGTGGTGTGGGCGCCGACCTCATCTGGAAGCTCCCAGTGCCGAGGCTGCGGACTCCTGAGAAAAGGAACAGGAGCTGAGTGACAAAAGGGGGAGATCGCTGGTCAGGCAGGCAGAGATCCCAGGGACCACACGGGGGTTGCCTGATACGCACACTGGAGTCACTGGTCCTGGGGCCTCTCTTAGGGCAGCTGGAAGGGGCGTGAGAAGATGCCGAGGGGCCTGGATGCTGCCAAGTCTCAGAGAGCCCCACCGCAGCCCATTCTTGGCTCTGATCAATCCCAAGATCAGTTTCCCAGCATGGGGAGGGGCCTGTTTGGCCTCCGTTCATTCCCGGACCCTCTCGTGGGCCCCGGAGCTCACAATTCCAGGGCTCACCCACAGCTCCGGGGTAGGCGCCATCCGCAGCCTGTAACTGCCTGGACGCAGGACGCCCGAGAGCCTCGGGCACAGGGCCGACCCATAAGCAGCCGCTGTCCCTGTGGGCAGAGGTCTCCGAAGAACACAGTGACAGGTCTGCTCCCCCGCGGCTGTGAGCCAGGTTGGCCGTGCCCACGGTCAGGGGCCAGAGGCTGCCCAGGAGCCCTGTCCATCTGCCATCATACTCGTTACCCTGGCAGGTGCTTGCTGAGCATCACTGCGTGCGCTTCGGGGAGGGGAGCGTGTCAAGAGCATGTTCTCGCGGTGGGGGACAGACATGGTTGAAATGAGTGCCACCAGCAAGAGAGGCTCCCCACACAGAGGGCCCCTGTGACCCTCCTGAGGGCTTTGTCACCCAGGTCCCATGACACCCAACAACTTAGGTGTTCAAGCTGAAAGCCCAGCCGTGCGTCAAAATGGGGCTGGGCTTTCTCAGCCCCCCATCCAGGGCTTGGCAGCAGAGCCGAGGTCCCAGCAACAGCCCGCACTTCAGGGCTCACAGCCGGAAGGGGATCAGGGACAGGGATGCGCCCACCCCAGCAGGGACACGTGGCACCTTCTGCACAGCCCAGGACAGTCCCCAGGCTGACTTACGGCTCGAGGGATCACAGTTCATCGCTGGACAGGTGCTCACACAGGCACACGGCCAGGGAGCACCATTGTCTGGGTCCACGTTCCCATGTACTTTCTCGTTAGAGTAACACCCGAGCGAGCAGCTGTTCTTGTGACTCTAAATCCGCCCGAGGCCATCCGCTTCTTGGCTTCTTGGTGTGAGAGCCGATTCTAAGCCAGAGCCACGATGATTTGCAAGGTGCGCCAGTCAGCTCCCGTTCCAACCTAACGAACCGTAATCAGGAAGATGGATGCCAGCATGTAAAAGGCAGGGTTTGTGGGTTACGGCAGGAAAGGCATCAGGAAAGGCAAAAAGCCCCAGGATGCTCGCAGCACCCTGTCGAGAGAAAAATAACTCCTGAAGGATTTCACGTTTATCCTTCTCGGGTGAGCGATTGGCGTCGCCATAGACAAAGGAAGATGAGACGCCCAAGTAAGAGGGGACGTTAGTCTGGGCTTAGTTCCCAGACAGCACGCCGTGCACCCTGCCCCGCCGTGTCCATCGGCAGGTGTCCGGGCGCCACAGACAAACACATCGTGGATTCTTACTCCACGCGAAAGCTTCGTCATCTTGTGTCTTCAGGCTGGCGGGCACATGGAAACTGAATGTTCTAGGGGTTTCTGGTCATGGATGAGAACAGGAGCGTCCGCTTCGCTCCACCTGCCCTCAGACCACCGGTTGGGGTCACAGTAGGCAACTTGATTTAACATTAAAAGGCTCTGCTGTGCGTGGCTTGGAGGTATCGCCCCAGAGATCGGGCAGCTGAAAGGCAGGACCCGGGCCTCCGGCAGGCTCCAGCTCACCCCGGGCTCGGGCTCAGCCTCGGCCAGCCCCGCACGAGGCTCCACCCCGATCACCTTGATAGGAGGTCTTTAACCTGGGTGAGTGTGCTTTCTAACTGGCTTACTAACACATCAAGGTTTCACAGTTTATGGTGGAATAATTTGGTCTGTAACCCAAATAGTCATCATGGGGTCATATGTGTGGTGTGTCCCATGGTCGGGTTACTGGCAGGGTCGGCTCAGTGAGCACGTGTGTGGAGGCCCCTGCCACGAGCCCAGATTCAGTGGTTGCTGGGCCCACATAGAGGTGAGGGGAGGCAGGACTGTGCTTTTGAGGAAGGTCAGTCCTATCCAGGAAAGGGCTTAAATCTGTGAAGTGAACGGTAATCAACAGGCGCGCTGACTCGTTTCATGTCTGGTCAAAAGCAGGAGTGATCCTCTCCTCAGTGGAAATTCTAAAGCAAATCTGAGTAAGGGGGAATCAAGTTCTACCCGCACATTCAAGTAACCGAGGTCATCATGATGTGTCTGCCCAATTCTGCACCAAGGCAACGAGATGGTGAGGATGAGGAACCTGTAGGAGCTCTGGGTCCAAACCCAGCAGTGCATTCAGAATAATGATGTTTCCACGAGTGGCCCAGAACCTGGCCAGGCGGGTGCCCGCATCTGACCCACCTGTGATGTCCCAGACCGTTTCTGGGCTCCCCCCCGAGTCTCCAAGCCCCCGAGCGTCCCAGGTGGGAACCCAGAGGTGTGCGGTGGTAAGGATTTCCCTGCTGACGGGGTGACTCTGGGGACTGTGTCTCTGTGCCTGCGTCGCACATGCAAGCCTGGCCCCAGCCAGGGTGAGATGCTTGCACGTCGGGCTGGCCAGCCCCGTCCCTGTCCAGCACGTTCATCGTGTGGGACGAACACAAGCGTGTGAGCACCATTTGTTTGTAATGGGTTCAATGTTTTCCTGCATTTCTGTTTGTACAAAGTGGTTTAGAAATTTTAAAGCTTCTATAGAGTTCAAGGGAAGCTCCGATTTATCAAATCCAATTAATATGGCTTTCATTAGATTTTACTACATGAAATGTTCACAAACTGGCCAACCACGGGCATAGGGCTGAATGAGTCCGCAGATGTGGTTACCATTATTGGGGAACAATCCCTGCAGAGGCGAGAAGGGTTCCAAGGAGGTGGGTGGGGACCGTGGGTCTCCCGGGATTTAAGGGGGCGCCATTACCCCGGACTGTCCGTCCCTGTGGGCTGGAAACTGGGTGAAGAGCCCTGCATTTCTCCCCCAGTCATTAGGGAACTGCATTGAGCTCTTATCAGAGTTTCTCATTTCCAGATGCACAGCGGAGACAGTTTCCCAGCCGGGTGCGGAACTGGGGACGGAATGCAGGACTTCCCCGCAGGTCCCATTCCTCCCCTCCCCCAGACACGGCTTCAGGCCGACCTACTCCTAGTGGGGCCAGCTCGTCTGCTCAGCCAGAGAGGACTGTCCCTGGGGACAGCGTTGTGCAGCTCAGCTCTTGCCCGGGGGACATGGCGGGGGCCGTGCTCCCCAGCACCACCATCTCCCCAAAGATGAAGCTGTCCCTGTCGTCGTGTGTAGACGGTTTCCCTCTGTGACCCTGGAATCTCTAGAAACAAAGTACCCCTTCGCAGCAGCTGAGCGTTCCGCCCCCAGAAGGGCAGCGCGAGACGTGGGTCCTGGGAAAGAGGGTCCGCGAGCCTCCCCGAGGGTCCCTGAAAACTGGATCAGCACTTGCTCGTGTTGGGAGAAATGGAATCAGAGCCTCAGCAGACCCAAATGAGGTGGTTTGCACCAGCGGCCCCAGAGGCAGGATCCTGGCGCGAGGTCGGATGCTGCGGATGCCAAGGCTGCCGGTGCACGTCTCCTAACTCTGTGTTTCCTTTCCTCAGGGAGGAAGAGATAGTCGTTCTGGATCACCCATGGCGAGACGCTGAAGCCCTACCTTGTGGTCCCAGAAACCTGTCCTCAGCTTCTTAATATAACTGCCTTAAGATTTTAATACCGTCCACATCCACTCCCTACTTGCAGCAAACACCCTCCCGCCTAATGCCCGTTGAGTTGTGCACATGGTGGGGTCAGGCACGCCGCACCTGCTGCAGCTTCTGGCCATCAGCCAAATGGAGGGAACGCAGACAGAATATTAAGCAGTTACTTGGTGTCTGAAGAGAGCGCGTCCTCGGAGCTCCCTCCACCGCGGTGCGGCCCCGAGTCACCGGGCGCCGGTGCGCGGACACACCTCCGAGTTCACCCTCCTCCCTCCTTGGACTTGCTTTGCTGACCCGGCATCCCTCGGCTTCGCAGGCACTGCCGTGGGGACGCTGCCGTGGACACAGGGACATGTGCAGGGCGGTGAGGACTGTTGATCCGAGCTTCCTTTGGTTGCTTTCCCCGCCCCTTGCTCACCTCCTAACACACACTTACTCTCCCTCCAGGATGAGGCAGTCGGGAGTGGCACGGGGGGCTTTCGGTACGTGAAGTGCGGGCGGGCAGCGGTGAAGAGTCCCGTGGGGTGGGCGCGGAGGGGGCGCCTGCAGGCGGCGGCCCACCCCACGCGGTTAGCGGAATTCGGGCGCAGCGGAGAGGGGACCGGGAGGCAAGGCTGGGCTGGGCCACGGCCCCAGTGGGAAACAGGATCTTCTTGGAAATGAGGTGAGGTACAGCGGGAGCCAGAGTGGCTTCTGCCAACAGCCTGTTCCCCCAGAGCCCAGCAGAGGTCCGGGGAGACGCTCGTCTCAGAGCGGGACTGGAGGAGTGTTCTGGGTGGCCTCATGGCGTCACCCTGGTCGCTGCGGGAGGTGACCAGCGGTGCGCTTCCCACGGCAGTGCACACTGCAATACTAACCCTCGGTGGACAGATAACCTTCCGTCCGCTTGCATCCTAGACGCGGACGTGCGTAGCGAATAGGCTTCGGAGGGCCCGCTTCCCGAATCGCTGAGCTGGACGTCGTGGGGGCCGGGCCTGGCCGGCCCTGTGAGCAGACGGGCTCCTCTGAATCGTGTCTTTTCTAACGAGCTGACCTTTCCTGTGCCCCCCTCGTAACATACTGATCCCGCCTTTTGGTTTTAGCGTATGTCTTAGAGGCCTTCCAAGGAGCCCCCACTGGCATCGTCCTCCCTTAGAAGGAACACGAGGAATAGTCAACGTGTCAACATAATCCCGTCCTAATTCCGATGTCCGGTGGGGGTTTAATATAATGTCTATTAATCTATAGCCTCAATGATGAGAGGGTTACAGGGGAACAAGGAACAAAATTTCAGAAACAGAACCTCCAAACTGCATGACACACACACACTCTACATCTCTGAGCCGACCGCTGGCCGAGTGGTCTCCACGCGGGGCTACGCCCAGACGGCGTGCGCTGAGATGGGCGCTCGTGGGAAGTACACACTGTTCTTGAATATTGAAATAAAATAATAAACTTTTAATGATTCTTGCATGGTGTCTTCTTTTATCTTTGCTCTGGGCTGCAGAATGTGAGCCCCAGCAGAGCAAAGGTAAAGGCCGTGTCTTGGGGGTGACGCGGGTGTGGGCTGTGCCTTCGCGGCCTGGGCCGCCGGCCCACGCTGGCCGAGCAGGTGCGTTACCCCCGGGGGCCTCCGCATTAGTAAGAGAGGATGGAACACAGGTCACGGTTAGGGCACGGATCCGCTAACTCACAGAATTTTCAACTTATCTTTCAACAATCTATTACCTTAACCAAACACCTATTAACGTGAGCTGAAGAAACTCTGGGAAACTACCTTTTGCCACACTAAGACATCGACAATAATGGGGGATTTGGGAAATTCTGTGTGTGTCGTTGTTCGCGGTTACAAGAATTCGGTTTCAAAAAGATAAGCCGAAATCTTTGTTTTGTCTTGCTTTTAACTAAAGTCCTGGCTCCCTTCCGTCTCGGCAGCAGCCGTGAGAGACTGTCTGCCCTTGTGAGCGTAAGGAGGGCAGCCTCCGTGCTGGGACGGTCCTGGGATGACACGAGCCTATTGTCTGGGGCCCCCAGACGTGTGTTGTGTGCATCCACCCCAATGCCGACACCAGGGGAGCCTGCCCTGCTCACCGGGCACCAGCCCCTCCCCTCCTCTTTGCCCCCCAAACCCTTCAACCAATGAATCTGGAAAATCATGCACAGAGAGTCACGGTTTTTTTTAAAGATTTTCTTTCTTCTTTCTTTCTTTTTCTTTCTTTCTCTCTCTCTCTCTTTCTTTTTTCTTTCTTTCTCTTTCTTTCTTTCTCTCTCTCTCTCTCTCTCTCTCTTTCTTTCTTTTTCTTCTTGTCAGAGAGAGAGAGCGAGCACAAGCAGGGGGAGAGGCAGAGGAAGAAGCAGGCTCCCCGCTGAGCACGGAGCCTGATGTGGGGCTCGATCCCGGGACCCTGAGATCACCACCTGAGCCGAAGGCAGACACTTCACTGACTGAGCCACCCAGGGGCCCAGAGAGTCACATTTTTAAAATAGTGTTTTAGTTGGCAGGTCTCTTTTAATGTTACATGTATAGGATGCACATGAAACGGTAAACCAAGGGTAAACCTAGAGTAACACAGCAACTCTCACGGTAACTCAACACTCGGATACATATTTTAAAGTAAAACAAGACAGAACAGGAGCTGAACCTCGGAACGCGTGTTCTCGCCGAACGCTTACCTAGGAGGTCGGGCACCACGCTCGAGAAGGGGCTTCGGGAACCCCAGCCCCAAGCAGAGCCCAGAGGTGTCACAGGGGGCAGGGGAGGCACAGGAGGGACTCCCCATCACAGCAGAGAGCCACGCGACCATAGTCTCTGGCCCCCACGCCATTCAGTGTAGACGAGGACCCGGGGATCGTGGGTCACCGCCGTCGGGACTCTAGGCCTGTGTGGCTGGTGGCGGACCATGAGCCCCCAGACGGGTGGACGCCGCGGGCAGAGCCGACAGGTCGGAGGACAGAGGGTCTGTTGGAGGGCACAGACCCGGGGCCGGGTTAGTGGGGTGTGGAGAGGACACTGCGTCGGGAGACGAGGTGCCACAGGGCACGCCAGCTCTGTAAGTTGGGGTGGGGCTCCCCCTGGACTTGGGGTTGTGGGGAGAGGCACGGGACCGTGGGGACAGTTCTCGGGTGGAATGAAGGACAGGAGCTCAGCTGCCGACTCATGGTGAGGTGGTGCTGTTGGGGGGCCCGGAAGGCCTTGCCGGGGCGAGGAGCTCCGATTCCGGGCACGCAGCTCCCCGCCGGGCTGCCGGGTCCGAGGCTGGGGCGCAGCTCCTCGGCTCCTCGCGTGCCCTCATGCGCCCTTCCATCCGTGTGCCTCATGCCTGGCACCTCCTCTCCTGAGGACCTCACCCCGTGGCCTCGTGTGCCGCGGGATTGCTCCCCGGCGTCCTGCCTCCAGATACAGTCCGGTGGGGAGTGAGGGCCGGGGCACGGGGCCAAGCAGGGCGGGCGCGCCTCCCAGGACAGAGCTGTGTATCCTTCTCACGCGGGAACGCTACTTCCTGCGCCCCCATCTGGCCCGGTGCTGGAACTAAGCCCAGGCCTGCGCAGGAAGCCACTCTTCTCCCCTTTCCCAGAGCGCTGATAGCCCATTTCCTCTCGTGATTTCTCTGCTGTAAGTAGTCACCGCGGTCCGCAACAAGGGGGCACGGAGGCAGTTGGCCAAGCGCAGTCCGTGAAGTCCGTGTCGCAGGTGAGCCATCGGGCGCCAGCGTAACCCACGGAACAGCCATTCTTGAAGTGGGAGTGGAACCACGGGAGGTCGTCCATGGCCTACTTTCCGAGAAACACGTGGGCTCCGTGAGCAGGCTCCGAGTCCACTCTTATGTTGGTGGCAGAGTGAGGGCTTCTCACCTCCGCTTCCCACCCTGTGGGACGGTGTGAGGTTAGTGCCTGATTCCAATGGCACCTGGAATGCATTAACGGGTCAAGACCCAAGTGTGCCAGTAAGATGGCGGACCACGTCCAGTGCTGGCCAGGGGGCTCCCAGCCCAGTCCAGTGCCGGCCTCCGACTTAAGTCAATGAGGGCAGATCCAGACCCAAGTGTAGACACAGGGACAGGCAACAGGCTCCCGTGGCTGCCGAGGGCGGGCAGACAGACACCAGGGGTCTGGTGGGACAGGGATGCGTCCCCACGCCAGCTGGGCCTGGGTCTGTGCACCCCTGGGAACGGTTAGCCAGCCGTCCTGGGCCCCCGCCCACACCTCCTGGAACAGAATCTGCTTTCTGGGGGCGCCTGGGTGGCTCAGTCGGTTAAGCGACTGCCTTCGGCTCAGGTCATGATCCTGGAGTCCCGGGATCGAGTCCCGCATCGGGCTCCCTGCTCGGCGGGGGGTCTGCTTCTCCCTCTGACCCTCCCCACTCTCATGTGCTCTCTCTCAAATAAATAGATAAAATCTTTAAAAAAACAAACAAACAAACAGAATCTGCTTTCTGAAAAGGCACCCGGGGGTGTTTGCCCCTTGAGGACTCGCCCCAGCCTCCAGAGGCGAGCCACCTGCCTGCCTGCCTGACCACGAACGCGGCAGAAGCAACTCAGAGAATGAAAGCCACGGCCGCAGAGTTGGGCCTGGAGCATCCTCGTCTCCTCGGGCACGTAACTTGGCAAGCAGACGGCAGAGAGAGGGGCAAGTCCAGGCTATGGCGAGGGCAGCGGACAAAGCAGGGGCCCCGCAATGCTCCGTGGTGACCGTGGCTATTCTAACAGGCAGCTCTGTCCTTTCCTGCGCCAGGAGGGCAGGTGCGGCTGGGGCCGGTCTTCGACGAGGGCAGACCCCGGCTGGGGCCGGAGCAGGGGGACGCGGGAGGGCCGGAGCGTGGGTGACGGGCCCCGGCCAGCAGGCGTGAGCGCGCCCTCCCCCCGCACGTCCCCGCTCTGACTCCCGCGTGGGTCTTGGCTTCTGGGCGCTGCTCTCCACGAAGGGGAACCAGGGCTCCTCGGGAAAACGGCTGGCTCCGGGCCGGAGACACAGAAAGAGCGCGATCTGCTGCACCAGCAGCGGGAAGGGCCTCCAAGAACAACGTGGCCGCGTCACAGGGGCTCGCAGCGGCCTCAAGGGGCCTGCACTGGTCAGATCTGGGGCTCTCTGGGCAGCAGGGTGGAGCCCAACAGCCTGCAGCCCATGCAACAGGACAGGAACCCACAAGTCTGCACCAACACGATCACAGGGATGAGCCAAGCAGGGAGTTCCTCACAGAGGAAGGCCGGCAGTAAATGTGGAAGAAACAGCGACCAGAAACCCGGGGCCAGGCCGGGGCTGCACGTGGCCGGGCCACATGGCCGCACGCTTCCTGGTCCCGCACAAACGCCCACTGCCTCGAGGAGAAGTGACTCCACTGAGGAAAGCCCGCCTCGGCGCCGCGGGCAACGGGTCAATCGCACACGACGCGTCCCCTTGCTTAAGACGCACCCGGAACATAGCGTCACGTCTGCGAGATTCTGGCCCAAGACGCATCACGAAGAAACCCTGGAGGACAAACTGCGGGACCTTCTGCTGCACGACTGGCCCGTGGTTTTCCGGAATGTCACAGGAACGGGGCCACGGGCCACGAGGGCGTCCGTTAGAGCGCAGCGGTGACTGTGCCCGCCCCGGGCAGTGCCTGAACGGGGTCCGGTGGAGCGTACACAAAGCCTTCTGCGCCCTCTTCCTGCGACTTTATGTGAACCTGAAGCTGCCCCCAAACACAGGGTTACATGGAAAGGGGAAGGACGCTGGGTTATTAAACTCGAGGAAGACAATTCAGAAAGAATCAGGAATGTTCCGAGCAGAGGGTCTTGGTGCAGACGGCCAGCTGTCGTCCCTCTTTATCCGCAGCGATGACGAAGTTGGCTGACGTCACATCCAGATGAGCTGCGTTGCGCTAATTGTCGGCATTCCCTCCCACACAGCTTGGTTACCAGGGTAACCGAGGATCACTTTGCTCTGATACTGAAGTGCTGTGGGACCACCTCCCCCGACGGATCCAGAATCGTGGGATCGGGGAGACACATTTTTCATTTTTCACTGTTTCCTTAGGGACTGGAAAGCTTTGAGGCTTTGTAACAGTAAGAGCTCCTCTGTGATGGGAACAGCGGCGTGGATGGTGTGGAGTAAATTAGCCACTGACATTCGTCATAAAGTTCCCACCCACAGAGTAAGCTGAGCCAGGGGCATTTCGAGGCCTCCAAAGGGAATTGACAGCGTATTGCTGGCAGCCCGAGGCCTCTGAGCTTCCCGCCGACCTGCCGGCTCCCAAGAAGCCCGCTTCCTGGGCCCTGGCAGAGGGTGCTGACAAAGGGGATTATGAGTCACCGCACTGGGATATTCCCAATCCTGAGTCCCACAGGGCGAGCCAGAGTGGGCCAGGCGATGCCCACGGCACAGGGTTGGGTTGCAGGAGACGAACCAGAGCTTAGGGACACCTGCGGCTTTTATAAAAGGCAGCAAGCTGACCTGGCCTCAGAGGGAGACGTACTGTGATTATGCTGGTCAGTGAACAAGCCTCGCTTTGCTCTGGAGGAAGATGCTGTCTCCCGAGGCCGGGCCCTGTACACACAGCCTTGAAGAGATCCCGGATCAAAGGCAGACAGCGCTCTGTTCACAAGCCATGCAGACACGAGACACGGATGGAGGGCCGCGTCCCAGCATCCCAGCTCAGTGGCTGAGAATATGAACGGAAGGGAGGGATTTAATCGACTCATTTCATAGACAAGGGGACAGGCCCAGAGAAGTTAGCTGAGTGGCCCACCGACAGCCAGCCAGCAGCACCAGGGCTGGTCTGACCTGAGGTCCCAAGGCACCCTACCCCTCGGCTTTGCTGGTGCACAGGATGCTTTGCAAACTCATGCCTTTGCGTTTATACACGAATACTCTTCCATCATCAGAGAGCCAGGCAGGCCAGAAAAGCCCATCTGGAGAAGCACTGTAAATAGTTGAGGCAATCCTCTGTAAAGAAAGTGTTTCCATAATCTGATCATTGTGTTTGAAAACCCACCCACCATATTTTAAAAGTTATTAGAGCAATGTTCCTCCTACAAACAAGCAACAGACATAGTGAAACAATTTCTTACCATTCCCTCTGAGCAAAGCGCAGGGGGAAAAAAAAAAAAAAAACCCAAATCATTTTAACTAGTTCAGTCCAAAATTGTATGGCGTCCCTTCTTCTGTGCTAGGAATACGGTGGACAAAGGACAAAAGATACCCTTCACTTGTTATTTCAACAGGATAACATTCCATATATTTTGAACTTCTAAAAGTTTGGAAATATGTCTCTAAAGAGGATTAGATGCTATAATATAAACGAACTCCAATGGTATTTATCTGGGGAAGTCCAATGTCCCACATGTCTCATGAACAGACACACTGATACTGGGATCGGTTTTCATTTCATTGCAAGTCACTCTCAAATAACTTATAAGTAAGAGGAAATGGACAATTATCCCCAAGAATAGAAAACAAGACATTCTCACACTCTTCAAACCCAATGGATCTCAATTTATTGCAAATTCAGCATCGTTGCTTTGGGTTAAGCTTTGCTGAAAATGTTACCTACAGAAAACATCCATCTTTAAACAGTTATAACTCACCCCAAGCCCAAATAAGTAAATATACAGGAGTTTTAAAATAATACAAGAACTGTTTTTATTATTCTTAAAGCCAGCTCGGTGGCTTTTGGCATAACTATCCATTTCTAATACAAAATTGGACTAAAGAAATATCATCCAATGTATAAATAGACCATGAAACGATTTTGAAGATAAAAAAAGAATTCTTTTGTAAATTAAAAAAAAATGATTTTAAAAGTTCTCTTTAGTGGTGAATCGAGAATGAATCACTATGTCACTGTAGAATCTGTCAAATAGATTACAAATCTTGATTTAATGCAAAAGTCTTCATGCCGTAAAGTATTACGCATAAAAAAGATTAAATAGCAAAATCATGTATGATTATTGCCTATTGCTCCTGCCACTTAATCTTTATTTTCAGTACTTTAAATACTTTACTCATCATCTGTATGAGAAACTACCATGGCGCCGGTCTGTGAAGGGTGGGTGGCTGAGACCGCGAGCCTGCGCTCATCTGTGGGTGTGCGTGCCCCAGGGAGGAGGCCGGTTCACACAGGGTCAACGGCGACAAGGAGGACAGTTGGCTTACAAACCTTATCCAGGCAAAGAGAACGTTTTAACTGGAGATACGCAGGGCTTCTAACCTTACAAAAGTGCTGCCTGCCCCCACTTTTTAATCAGTAAAGATGCAACTAGGTTTTAAAAATGCTAATTTGGGGGGCGCCTGGGTGGCTCAGTCGTTACGCGTCTGTCTTCGGCTCAGGTCACGATCCCAGGGTCCTGGGATCGAGTCCCGCATCGGGCTCCCTGCTCCGCGGGAAGCCTGCTTCTCCCTCTCCCACTCGCCCTGCTTGTGCTCCCTCTCTCGCTGTGTCTCTGTCAAATAAATAAACAGAATCTTTTTTAAAAAATGCTAATTTTTATCAGAATAAGATAAAGATACAGAGGCCCCAAATGTGAATGTAAGCACTTCTGAAATTGTATTCTAAAAAATCAAAACACCGATGTTGCGTGAATAGAGATTAAGTGGCAAAAAGAGAAGAAATCTAGATGACTACAAAGTGCCAATTACATACTTTCATCTCTGCCTCACATTATATGATAGATTTGAGAAAAAGAACAGATTAGCAATGATCGACCCTTAGATTAATTTTGTTGGTGGGGAGGGCACAATATTGACTTTGAAATAAACTTCTGGGAAAAGAAAAACAGGCAAAAAGCAGGCAGCAGAGGTCTCTAAAAATAATACCCAGAAAGCAGTCCTATATACCTTACATATTTTCCTAAAAAGATGTTACTTACATAGATCTGAGTGATCACTTAATGTTAAAAACGTGTATCTTCACGAGTTACACATATTTCTCGGCAGAGAGGAAGCTCCGTTGGGAAGAACAGAGATCTACTTACACTTAAAAAAAATCCGGTACCTGTACTGACGAATGCATTTCTTGCACGTAAACGTGACCGGAGCGCTCAGAAGAGACCAGAGAACCCCGGGCATGCTCGTGAGGCTCCGACTCACACTCCCTCCCGAGCAGCAGCGTGCAGCGGAGCGCGGCACATGGAGCTACGGACAGGACGCCGCGCTGCACTTGGACGAAAGAGACAGCCGACAGAACAGCAGGACTCACTCACGGGGACTGAGCCTCCCGGCCGCCGGCACCACCTCGTCAGAGGCTGACGAGCAGCCTGACGGGCCTCGCGCCTCCGCTCCTCGAGGGGTCCCCCGCGTCCACCCCCGTCCACGCGCCAAAGGATCAGTGGGGGCACCGGGGAGCTCAGGGTGGGCGCGTCTGCCGTTACATTTCTGAAGAACGTTTTTATGGTCATCGGTCGCCGTTCTGGGAAAGCAGGACGGCTTGTGCGTTCTCCAGTGGCCCAGACCCCCGCTGCCTCAGCATCACGAGAGCTCTACCCGGGTTTTAGGTTGGGTGTGTGTGCAAAGGCAGCTCACCCCTCAGCTCCCGGGAATGCTTCCCGGGCAGCTCACCACACAAGTGGGTTAAAGACCGTCGGGAACGTTCGAGGGGCATCGCGCACGAGGGCCAATCATGCGGGCGACTGAGAACAGGAACGAGGCTTGTAGCTCATAGGGACAGCGTGCCTGTCGCTGACCCGTATCCTGACTTTTCAAGTTTGAAGCTCTTCAGATAGACCTTGCAAGGGCTAGTTTTCATTGTCTGGACTTCACGGAGGCAAAGGAAAACACCATTAAAGTTCTGCTCTGTTAAAAAACTCTCCGAACTTGAAATTGATTCATATGCCAAACCATTATATAGTAAATATTTTAAAAGAAAAAAATTAATCACACTTCCTAACTTCATTTTTTATTTATTGTTATTCCAAAGCAGATACGCTAAGATGAGATATTTCTAAAAATACAGTTATCTATTCTCAAAACCCTGGTTATGCAGGAGGCTAGAAATCTCGTCAGAAGACATTTATCAACCAGTAAAATATAAAGATCAACCTGTACTCCACCAAAGGTTCAAGTGAAATTATGTCTTTACAAAACCTTATATTTTCAAGGAATGTTTTGCAAAGAAGCAGCTTTTATAATTAGGAAGTAAATAAAAATAATATATTAATGTCTTGTGTTTGCCTGCTAATAGTTAATAAATTGAGAAAACTCAAAAAATGAATCACTGATAGATCTTTTTTTCTTTTTCTTTGACGAAAATAAAAGTAGGCTTTAGATTCACCTGGTAAACCCTTACATAAATAGGCGGTTCACCAACACAGTTCACTGAACTATGCTTTCTGTACAATTAGGAATTAAATAAACCCCTTTTAGAGACTTGTCCTGAGAGATGACATTTAATGCTACAACCAAAATAAATAACCTAGCAAGAACAATTTTTTTTTAAATTCCAATAATTTCAACTTTGGAGATATCTGTTCACCAAAATTAATCAACATTTCTAAAATATTTTAATACAAAATTATAAAAGAAAAGTGCATTAAAAGCAGAATCTTTAAAACTCTGGCACAATTACAATTATTCGGAATATATGGTCTACGGCCACACACTGACATTCAGGGAAAACCTCAGGATATGTAATAGGTCCAGTATCACAAGAGTAAGTCAAATAAGGCTTTTTTTTTTTTCCTTAAAAAAATATACAATACACAAAGCAGTTTGAAAAAAAAGTAATATTATTTAACAGTTTTCTGACTTAAATATTTTCACATAACAAAAGTTTTTATATCATCAACATTACTTATGTACATATGCCAAAAAGTGAACAACAACAAAAATCAAAAGATGCCCTTTGAAAAAATAACAGTGAAAATGTCTCTTTCTTCACGAATCTGAAATGAGCTCCTCTCTTAATATACAAAGTCCATACAATATTTATAATAAAGCTGCTCTCTTCTGAAACCAGGGAGGCCATGAGACAAAATAAAGGCAATTATTTTTCAGGAAAAAACAAAAGCAAAACAACCCCACCTTTATGTTACAATGAAAAAGATACCCATTTATTACTATAATGAATACAATACTGATCGGAAGTGCTCGTGGGGAGGTCAGAACTCTGATGCGCTCTCTCTGTAATCGGGACGAGTGCTTCTATTTACAAAATATACTGTTCAGCCACACAGAGGCCCATATATCTGTCTATGTACATATGTATTTATATATAGAACATATAAATAATTCTGAAGGAGAAACTCACATGAAGTAAAGAACTTTCCGTCTTTGGAATGCTGTAGGAGCAACGCACACTCTGCCCCGGCTCGGGGTGGGATTTGGTTTGGGACGTGTTCAATGTGGCACCATTGATGATAGTAAAGAGTTCCCTGAAATAAACAACACACCTGCCTATGCATGAAGAGAGGAACACGGGGCTTGTTCGGGATGTTACCTCTAACCTACAAACACGCCGCTTCGTGGCTGGGGCGGGACGGGGCCACGGTTCCTTTACTCCGAGGACACAGTTCTGCTCTCACCTGCTTGCGACGTATGGCTTGTGCTTTCTGCAATCATCTAACCCACGGACCTGAAGGTGGACTTAGGAAGCAAGTGCGGCCCCGCGCCCCATCCTGTGAGGACGCCTTCATCCTCATTTGTGCCCCCCTCCCCCATTTATGCCCCGATGCTGCAGTCTTGTAGCTAATGGTTCGAGAATCGTAATGCAGAGAGAATGGTCCAGCCATCTCTCCAGGTAATCTAGTAACTTATGGTAGACTAAAAAGAGTCAATTTCTAATTTCAAAATGCACAGAGAAAGAAAGTGGAAAACACTTCCCTGTGTGTTCTAACATTTTTCTGAACTTCATGCACCGATTTTATGTTTGTTTTATGAGCTATGCTTCTTACAACAGAAAGCATGAAGGAAAATCTATCTTACTTTCTCCACGTTACCTTCTGTCTTTGCTAATACAAAGAGGTCACACTACAATGATAGTAAGATCCAGTTAACGTCTTTGTAACTAGATGCACTGGCCGCCGAGGGGAAGGTAGAACTGCCCCAGTGTAGTACCTGAGTTCAGTGATTTGTAGACAAATGACAACGACGCGTTCACACTGCTCCCGGTTGTTTCCTATCAGTCTCTGAAGACAATGATTCTTGAGATAATTTTATAGCTAAAAAACTAGCACGGTAACATTTTTAACACCTGAAGCCTCAAAACAGAAATTCCAAGTGCTCTGTTCTTCGCAACATTTAACTTCGGAAACGGCCTCCGAGGTGGGGATGGGCCGCGTCAGAACACATTGGCCAGGGCCTGCCACTCGCTCGCGGACTCCTGCACCACCTCCTCCAGGTGGAGGGTCCGGCTCAGCTCCTCGGCGCCGTGCTCCTGCTGGACCACGGGCTCCGGCAGACTTCCTGCGGACGGACGGACAAAGAGTAGGCAGAGTCTCAGGCACTCAGCGGCACACAGGGATTCACGGGGAGATAAAGACAATTTACATCGAGACAAGAAACTGCTGAATTGGTTTGCTTTCCACCCCAAAGGAAAAAGACTAACTTGAGGGGCAGTTTAACTACGTCGTGGCAATTCCTGTTTTTGAAAGTGAACAAACACAGCCCTTGTTTCGGATGCTCACGGCCTAACGGTTACGTCAACAAGAGGTCAGCGATAAGCGATCAATCATGAATAAGAGCAACACGACACGCATGAAATCCTAACAGAAAGAAAAGCAAGAAGCACTAGAAGGGAGATGTGAGGGCCAAGGGCCGCGGGGTACGCAGCGCCCCGGTCCGTCCCTGGCCGCTCAGCCGCGGCCTGTGAAGGCCCGTCTCCCTCGCAGACCACACTGCCCCGAACAACTCGCGGCTCCAGACCCCGGCACCGCACGGGCCCCACGCACCACACGGCCGGCGCCCCCCCGCCAGCCCTTCCTCGCGAACACCGCGCGGCCCCAGGGGACGGAAGGGAGACGCGCCATGGCCAGCCGCCTGCTCGCCCCTCGGCCGGCAGCCGCGTCAGAGTCCGCACGGAGTGGACACGCTCGCCCCGCACCCGGCAGCGCCGGGAGGGTCCGGATGCACCGGGATCCGGCTCGGACCCCGGCGAGGGGCCGCCGTCTTACCCGCGTAGCTGTGCGCCCGCTTCATGTGGAGCTTCATGTTGCTCTTCTGGGTGAAGCCCATGATGCAGTAGTCACACTTGTAGGGCCTCTCGCCCGTGTGCTTCTTCATGTGCACCTGCAGGGCGCTCTTCTGGTTGAAGGCTTTCTCACACAGAGTGCAGCGAAACGGCCGCTCTCCTGAGGGGAGACAGCGTCGTGTCAGCGTCCCGACAGCGTCTCTCGCGGGCCCGCATTTGACCCAGCGCTCGGAAGAACGTACCCGAGTTTCCCAGCCCTCCCAGCCCTCAGACTGCTAACTCACAGCTGTCTAGCAGCTCTGCCCCATGGTGAGGCACGGAACAAAACTTTTATCAAAAGCTACTCAAACTCCTAGAAGCATCCAGAAATAGAAGCAGAGCTCATATGGTTTAAACAAAGTGTTCCGAATACATTTGGGGCAGTAAAGCAAAATGACACTAAGTACATGAGAATGCCAAATCCACTTAATTAAAAGTATAATTTACCCAATACTTTTTAAAATGTCATTTTAATTGCTTTGACGTTAATACAGAAACTGAAAGATGGGAGGGAAGTTGGCACGTTGACTCCTGCTGGAAGCCTGCCTCGGCCTGAGCCCACAGTCCTGCCTCCTCGCTGTCCCTGACTCTGCCCCACACACTCGTCCACTGCCAGGCCCCCAGGGGCACAAGCCCTTCCCCTGGGCCTAGAAGGTTATTTCCCATCGGCACGGCTGCCTCGTCAGGCGTCCGCCCCCTTTCCCCGCGTGGCCTCCCTGGACCACGTGTCGGCATGAAGCCCCACGTGCTTGCTCCAGTAACACCTGCTCGGCATCCTCCCCAGGTGTCACCTTCCATCACTCCAAGTCCGTCCCTCCCACCCAGTGGCCAAGACACAGGAGGGCTTACTACCGCTCCCCATGCCAGCCAGAGCCCTAGAGCAGCCCGAAGCTCTCCGGCTCTAATCCCCGGGACGGGCAACGGGAGGACGTCACACACCCGAAGGACAAGGATGTCACAGAGGTGGTTCCGACACGAGTCAGGTGACTCGGGCTGAGTCACAAGGATATTTACCCTGGCGGGCCCACACACACCCCTTCAAAGCAGAGGCAGAAGGGGCGCTGCAGGGACCAGAGGCTGCACAGGGGCCGTGGCTGGTCTGAAGGCGCCGTGCCCCCTGCGGGGGGAGCACCCAGCCAGCAGAAGCAGGGCCCACAGCAATATGCCCTCAGCGGGTTTCTCCAAACCTTCGGAAGCACCTAGCTCGTGCTAACAGGCAAACGGTAGTCTCTACCCCTTAAAACCATGGTTTTGAGTAAATATGTTATAAGTACAGCATCGTCGTCTTGTCTTTCCCTCAAAAGCGGTTTGCTGAACACCTGGTCGGTGCCAGGCCTGTGTCGACAAGCAGGGACATCACTGAGAACACCAGAGCCCGAGGGCCGGGGAAGGACGCTGATGGGGAGCACCTGCTGATAATACAAGGAGGTCCCCACGTGGGCCAGCCAGGGGCACTGGGGGGCATAGAGGCCTCCCGGGGAGGGGTGTCCAACCTGACATCTGCAGGGAAATCAGAGAAGGCCAGGCAAAGAATGACGGGCCGGGCAGAGGGGACCAGCAGAGAGGACACTCAGGGAGCAGAGTCGGGACTCCAGGTGGCAAGGTGTGTGGGTCCCCGAGGCTTCCCACGGCCGGGTGCCGCAGGACGAGGGTGTGCAGCAGTGGGTGAGATGGCTTACAGGACACCAGGGTCCCACCTGCAGGTGCTCAGAGGGGAACGAGAGGGTCCCGTCTGCCATGCTCCCAGGGCTTCCGTCGGGCTCTGTGCGAACATGGGGCTGCCCGCCAGAGCGGGAGGCAGATCCCGCAGTCGGTCCTGAAAGGACAGGCCTCAGCAGACGGGGCCCTGGGACGGTGTGTTTCCGCGTGAGCCACGGCGGGGTGGCAGGCGCGGAGGGTGCAAGTGAGTCGTCAGGGAGATGGGCCAAGAGGCAGGGAGATGGGGGTTTGTCTCGGTGTTGGTTTTTCCTGAGACATCAGGCCTGAGCAGGTTTAGGAGGTGACAGGAAGTCAGCAAAGAGCAGTCTGAAGACATAAGAGGAGGAGAGAGAATGGCGTCCCCCACAGTGGGAGGACAGGGAGCCCGGAGGTGGGGGCGGGGGGACCCCAGTGCGGGCAAGGTCCCCGGAGGCCACGGCAGCCCTTAACAGTTCCACATCCCACGGTCACCAGGGAAACCGCAAAATCTCTTACTTGAAAAGTTAGCATGATGAACTGATGAAAAACGAAGGAAAGAACAGAATATGCGGACCTGGCTTTATAAATAACGGCTTACGTCGTACATGAATATTTGCACGTGAGCCTCGCTTTCTCACCGGCCTCCGGAACCCGACCGGGAAGCGCGCGGCTCGCGGTTACCTGTGTGGATGCGGCTGTGCCGCTCTAGCTGGCTGGGCTTGGCGAACGCCTTTCCACAGGTGTCACATTTAAACACTCTTGGCTTCTGGGAGCTTGGCGAAGGGCCCGCCTGATGAGTCTGCATGTGCTCCTGTTACAGACCACACACAGAAAGGGAGAGATACTTGAGATCCCGGCGGGGCTCTCCAGACCTGCAACACGACCGCGGGGCCCACGTGAGCAGCAAGGACAAGCGGAGGCCAACCTGGGACGAGCGCCCTCGGGGACTCGGTGGGGGTGGGGGTGGCCCCCCGGACACCCGCACGACCAGCTGTGCGGCCTGTGCCCTCCCTCTGCCGATGACCTGGGCGGTTTTTAGGAACCCTGGTCCCTATCTGGTAGGCTGTTCCTCGACTGAGAACTGCCCCAAGCGTTTCTCATGACTAGACTGGGGCTGCGGGATGGGTGAAGGAGGTCACGTGCAGCTGCCAGAAAACACGGCAGAGGAAGAGCCGAGGCACACAGACGAGCTGTGGGTCTGAAGGGCAGACATCCGGGTTCGCCGTGCGGCAGAAGGCTGGATCCACGGCGGGCTAACTAGTGGTCAGATGAGGCCGCGTCTGCTGACGAGGAGCGCTGGCCGGCAGTCTCGGGGCCAGGTCCACGGCCCCCACTGTGGCATGTCACCTGACCGCGGCCCTGGAAATCACTTCCCAGAGCCCTTCCTCCTCCTGCCCCCTACTGCGTGCATGTCCCAGTGTTTGCCCAGCCCCTCTCCCGCCATGCGAACCCCATTCTCAAGGTGGGTGCAGAGCCAGGTGCCGAGGGGCGCCTGTTCCCCTGCGGAAAGCCGTGCCAAGCGCGGGCCCCCAGGGGGAGGGGCGCCCCTGCTTCCCCACGGCCTGGCCCCTAGGTGCTGGCAGATTTTTTACTGTTTGCTGCTCCGCTCGGTGGGAAATGGCATCTCACTGTCATCTGAAGTCCCACTAGACATGAATTCGGAAGTGCACTCGAACACACAACCCAGCGGATCTGATAAAACCACAATCCCACTGACCTTCACTCCAGAAAATGGGCAACTTTGTTACTCTTTCTGCGAGCGAGATCCGCGGCTGCTACTGAGTCACAGACCCCACCGGGCGCCTGTCACCCCCGGGCCCTGGCGGCCAGGGCGCGGCGGAGCGTACCTTGAGGTGCGTGGCGCGCTTGAAGGCCTTCCTGCACACGGGGCACACGTGGATGCGCTCCCGGCCGTGCACTTCCTTGCTGTGGTGAAGCAGCACGGCGGCCGACGCGAAGGCGCGGCCACAGTCCAGGCACCGGTGCACCCGGCCCTCCTTCGCGGGCGGCCCGCCCGGCACGTCGGCGACCTGCAGTGGGTCGGAAATCCCGGGCCTCGCTCAGTGGCTGCAGCTCGTGAACGCACAGACACACAAGAGGACGGGCACGCAGGGACGCAGGGACACGGTGGCCGCGGATCAGACCAGCCCGCTCCTGCCCTCCGAGCAGAGCGTGGCGAACAGAACGCTGTTCCGCGCACGCAACCGTCCCGGGGCAGACTGTTGGGCTGCTCCCTCCCGGCGACCCATCTGGCAGTACGGGGGCGCAGTGCCCAGGGTGCTGAGAACGAGGCCCCCCACACAGCACGCACTCGGTATGTGCTGTTGCTGGCAGTAGTTTTAGTGCAGACGAGTATAAGGACACTGCCCCCAAAATGCTAGTGCTGTGGCTGAAGAGCTCCCTCAGCAAACTGCGGGATAAACAGCACTTCGCAGAAGGTGTGTCAGCTCTTGAGCGGATTAAAGCATTTCCCGAAACTCTGAATCACAACCAGTGAGGTTTTCAAATCATTTTAATGGGATGCCATTAACACCCCGAAAACAAACGAAGCAGGAGTTCATGACTCAGCTTTTATAAACAAGAGTTTAGTTTTACAGATAAAAACTTGTATATGGCAACTTAGTGAAAGAAAATTTTAACTAATTGTAATGAAAATTGATGGGATTTGTCAACATTTTTATTCTAGTTTATCAAGTACTTTTTCATAATTTTCTAATATATAGAAATGGATAAAATTTAAAGAAAAAGACTTGACAACAAAAGGTTTCTATAAGGTGCTCTCAGATCACTCATCTGTGCTGTAATAAAAAAAGAGCAGAATGGACAAAGGATAAAACAAGGGATCAGAAGCACCCAGATGGTGCAGTCCTGTCTCCCTGTGACACTTCTGTGAGAGGTCTGTGCGTGTGAAGCAAAGAAACAATGGAAAGACCCTACGTGCTCGGGTCAGTGCATAAACCTGTTTCCTGGGAGTCAAAGGAAGCCTGGAAGCCCCTGGAACCGGGGAGGCCCGGGCTGCACTGCACCTGCAGCCACGTTTTAAGGAAGCACAGGATGAGAGCCGGCCACGCACAGCCGCGCGCACTGACTCGACAGGAGCCGCAGGTTTTCCGCGGGCGCACGTGGGCCCCCCCGGCAGCCACGCTACCGCGGGCCGTGAGCGCTGCGCCCACGCGTCCACCCGCGCTCCGAGTCCTGCGGGCCCTCGCAGTGCGTCACTGAGCTGCCGCAGGCCGCGGCCCCCGAGACACAAACTCACCTCCAGGTGGATGAGCTCCGGTTGGGAAACTCCCCGTGCTGACCGTGTCTAATTTCTTTATAAAAAAGGAGTCTTGTCCCACTGAAAGACCAGTAGGTAATTGTCCTGAAACTCATTTGCTCAAACTGCTTAAAATGTAATGCTGCTCAGAGCCAGTGGTTATTTATTGTCTGTACTTTACCTCTAACTCTGAAAAGTTTTAAGGAAAGAGATTTTATTAGAGTCTTCTGTATTTAAAACTATCACTTACTGAATGTCTTAGACCCTCAAAACATACGTTTTAAGGGAAAAACTACCAAATGACAAATAGTCCACGCGCACACATGTGTGTATACGAAAAAAGTACAACCAGACCTAAAAGAATCGGCAAAGGTATTACAAGAAAACCCTTGAAAAGAACTAAGTGTCCATGTGAAATCTGATCAGCAGACAAGTAGGAGATTCAATAAATTTAAAACTAGCCTCACACGTGACTAGTTTCTACATCTTATTTTGTGGCACAAAAACCTGGCCCCAGCAAACCACAAATCACGTAGTGAGGGAGTCAGTACTCACTGCTCAACCCAGGCTGTCCCCCAGGCCCTGCGCGGCTCAGCCCAGGCTCTTTACTCCCATTCGGCTAGAGACGGCCCCCCAGGAACGGCCCCCCAGCCCCCCCCAAACCCTCTGGGCCCAGCCCCTCTCAATCCACATTCCTTACAACCCGCGACCGAGCGTGAACGCAGGCGCGCGGCGTACCTGGTAGGCGATTTCCTCACACGCAGCGGCGGAGGGCTGTGGGGTGTGGCTCACTAGGATGACCTGCGGCGAACCTGCTCCCCCTTGGCCCGACAGCGAGGGGTCCGTGAGTAAGGCTGGGAACTGCTGACCCTAGTAAGGACGGACTAGTTTAGAAGCTGTGACGATATCAAATCCAGCAGTAACGTACAAGATCTCTTACGGTGCAGCTACTGGGGACCACACGTGGGCAGGTCCTCAGAAAAGTTCACCACAGAAGCAGCACGTGACCCAGAGCTCCACTCCCACACGTGTGCTCGAGAGAAATGAAACCCTCACCCCCTCGAGCGCTCACGCGCAAATGTTCACAGCAGCCAAAAAGGCAGAGACAACCCCAATATCAGGTAGCCGGTGAGTGGATGCACAAAATGAGGTGCATCTGAGTAGCGGAATATGATTCAGCCAAAAGAAGGGACTGGAGTGCGTGGGGCACGGGCCAGGCCACGGAAGAGCCTCGAACACAGGATGCTGAGTGAGGGAGGCCAGCCACACAGGACCACGTGTTGTGGGATGCCACTGATGTGAAATGCTCAGAACAGGTGCGTCTACAGAGACAGACAGTAGACTGGTGGTTGTCGGGGGCCTGGGGCTTGGAGGGGGGCACGGGGAGTGACTGCTAACTGCTAATGGTGCCACATTTCTTTCTAGGGTGATGAAACGTTCCAAAAGTCGATGTGGTCATGGGGGCTCAACTCTGTAGATATACTAAAGACCTTTAAATTCTACTTCAAATAAATGGGTGAACACTACAGTATGTATGGTATATCTTAACAACGCTCTAAATATAAAGAAGGCTTATTTGTTTACAAATGCACACAAACCGCTGTGAGTCCCACCACCACTCCAGCACCTCTCATACCGACCGTGGATCTGGGACGGGGCACGCAGCGGGGCGTCTGGCTGGGCTGGCCCGACCACAGGCTCCAAACGGGAAGCCACACAAACTTGCACACCTGCCGAACCAACGCTGATTCTCACACACATTATGTGTGATCAGAACACACAAGGATTTGAAGAGCCGCTATCAACGGAGGGGCACGGAGTCACAGGGCACTTTGGTCACGGCACCCCCGGCCGAAGATGAGGGGTGATCTCTGGGGCAAGCCCAGCTCCCACGGGGCAGATTAAGACTGGAGCAGGCACAGGACGGCAAGAAATGGACTGAGAAGGCACTGAAAGAATTTCAGGCCCACTTCTCCTGGGAAAGACATTTCCTCAGGCAGACAGGGACACAGAGACAATGGGGTAGAACATGGGGCAGAATATAAATTTACAGGGAGAGCATCATGGATTCTAGAGAAAAGGAGCTTCTTAAATTGATTTGGATTCTCTGCTTTTCATACGCACCTTTAAGAAAAGTGAAATGATATTTTAGGTGTCTCCGTTTATCAAAGTTTTTTACACAAACGTGGCATATTTTGGCAAGGTCCTATGCGTACCAATAAAGCTTCATGTTTGCCACCCCACTTACGCCAGAACTTAGTTGAATATCGCTGCTTTCAAGTACCAGTCACTTCTGACTCCTGTCACTCGTCTGCCACCAGCTCTGCCACCCCTCTTACCAGACCACCCAATTTGGGAAAATGGTGTCAGTCAAAATTAATAAATTCACATTTCCTAATTTTACGAATCAAAGACAAATACCCCTGCTAGCCAGAAATTCCAATATATGTAAGAACCAGTGTTGGCTCAAAAAACTCATATATTCTCAAAGGAAAGCTAAGGCCTTTGAGATTCTGCACTGACGCAGGTTTATCAAGGGGAAATAACAAAATTATAGACCTGAGGACTAGATTAGCAACTGCCAGGGGAAGGGGCAGTGGGTGGCAACATGAGGGACCCTTGTGGGATGGAAGGTTCCGGGTCTTGACTATAACAACAACCATACCTGGCCGTGATATCGTACCTAGAGTTTTGCATGATGCTACCACCTGCGGAAGCTGGGTAAACAGTACACAAGATCTGTCTGTATCATTTCTTAAAATGGACTATGAATCAACAATTAACTCAAAATAAAAAGTTTTAATTTTAAAAAACTCCCAATACAATGTAATTTAGTAGCTTATTAGTGTTTCAGTCGCTAATATTAAGTACTCTTAATGCATACGCCTGTTTTAAAAATCAAGTGTCTAGTAAAATAAATGCTCAACAATGAGCCACACCCAAGGAAGTGGTGACCTGAATCTGCTAAGGTGGTACCATCTGAAAGTCCTTTATCTTCGGTTCGATGATTACTTGTAGCGTATTTATTTCTTGGTTATGTTTCGGCTTACACCGAGGTGGAAGTTATAGGAATTCTCACTCCCAAGTGCACGTGGGGAAGGGAGCCGGGCCCCGGGCGCTCACTAGCAGAGTCCAGCCCCACCCACAGCTGCTGATTCAACCTTGCAAGGTGAGCCTGGAGATTCTGATGTGCAGCCAAGTTTGGGAAATGCTGCTCAAACACCACTAAGGCTTGCCACCCTGACGGGCGAGACTCGGTGTGACAGCCGACCTAACTCCCTACCACGCCCCTGAAAGTCAGCCTCATCCAGTGTTTCCCTGTTCCGTCATCTCGCCAGGGATCTGCTCTCAGCAGTCATCATTGCCATGCCCTACACAGTTCAACATGCCCGCCTGAACATCATACACACCGTGCCGCAGAGAGAACATCCAGGCACACCCACGGCACCCCCAGGGAGGAAGCAGGGAGGCTTCGGCAGCCCGGGCCCAGGCTAGGACACACCCAGGCACTACAGTGCACGGCTGTTAGAGCAGAACCCCGGCTCCATCGCACCCGCCACTTCCGGTGAAGCCCCCAGTCACACTCTGACTTCTCATCAAGACCCAAAACCACACTTCCACATCTAATGACCGAGGTTTGAGTGTTTTGTACCGGGTCAATTATCTGTATTCTCATAAAGTAAAAAACAAACAAAAAACCCACCAAACCGGGAATGCAAGCTGGTGCAACCACTCTGGAAAGCAGTATGGAGGTTCCTCAAAAAGTTGAAAATAAAGCTACCATACGATCCAGCAATTGCACTACTGGGTATTTACCCCAAAGATACAAATGTAGGGATCCGAAGGGGTACGTGCACCCTGATGTTTATATTATAGCAGCAATGTCCACAATAGCCAAACTGTGGAAAGAGCCAAGATGTCCATCGACAGATGAATGGATAAAGAAGATGTGGTGTGTGTGTATATATATATATATATATATATATATATATATATATATACAATGGATGTATATATATATATATATATATATATATACAATGGAATATTATGCATCCATCAAAAGGAATGAGATCTTGCCATTTGCAATGACGTGGATGGAACTGGAGGGTATTATGTTGAGCGAAATAAGTCAAACAGAGAAAGACATGTATCATATGACCTCACTGATCTGAGGAATTCTTAATTGCAGGAAACAAACTGAGGGTTGCTGGAGTGGGGGGTGGGGTGGGAGGGATGGGGTGACTGGGTGATAGACATTGCGGAGGGTTGCTACGGTGAGCGCTGTGAACAGCGCAAGACTGTTGAATCACAGATCTGTACCTCTGAAACAAATAATACATTATATGTTAAAAAAAAAAGAAGAAGAAGAAGATAGCAGGAGGGGAAGAATGAAGGGGGGGAAGTCGGAGGGGAAGACAAACCATGAGAGACGATGGACTCTGAGAAACAAACTGAGGGTTCTAGAGGGGAGGGAGGTGGGAGGATGGGTTAGCCTAGTGATGGGTATTAAAGAGGGCACGTTCTGCATGGAGCACTGGGTGTTATACGCAAACAATGAAACATGGAACACTACACCAAAAACTAAAGATGTAATGTATGGTGATTAACATAACAATAAAAAAATTAAAAAATAACCACCAAACCTACAAGAATTCATATAAAATAGAATTCATTTCAGGAACGAATCAGTTACTTATTTTTGTTTTCAGAACAAGAACTGAAAAATCACTTTGCTTTCTTGAATATCTTTTTTCAGATTTTATTTATTTGACAGAGAGAGCACACGCACACATACAAGCAGAGGGAGCGGCGGAAGGAGGGGAAGAAGCAGACTCCTCACTAAGCGGGGGAAGCCTGATGCGGGACTCAATCCCAGGACCCCGAGATCATGACCTGAGCCAAAGGCAGACGTTTAACTGACTGAGCCTCCCAGGTGCCCCCTTGAATAGATTTTTAAGTGAATGCTTGCATTTCCTTACAAAATTGTCAGATTTAGTGGCCTGATCCTCACCTCTGCCACCAATAGTCCAAAATTTGGAAAGAAAAACTCATCTCAAGTTTGTAGTTGAAGAAGAAATCTTTATGACCCACCAATTTTTCTTTCAATAACTTCCCTAGTAAAGAAACTGCAAAGTTACTTTTTAATGCAGGTACATCACTGTAATTTAACTTTTACTTCAACAGGTTGTAATTTTAAATAAACTAATTTTTCTGTGGTACATCAAAATGATCATTTACCCCACATAATATTCTTTTCTAGTTGGACTACTTGCAAGTTTAAAATTACGATTACTTGTGGACATACATAAATGTCTTCTTTCCAAACATTCCGCTGTTACAGACTCAACTGTGACCCTTGGGTTCAAGCCACCTAACACCACTATGTGAGTAAACTACTGAAGACCACACCCCTTTGTGCTTTTACCACCATTTTCTCTTGTGGAATTTATAAAGAAAGAAAAACATAGAAAAATGGTACACAATGTATACTATTTTCATGTCTTTTTAGCACTTAAAATTCACGGGTTCACACTCTTGGGCTCCTTCAGTGACTCTCGGGAGGCCCCGGTTTTCCACGTGCGGAGTGAGTTTCAGAGCAGACACGTGGGATCAGCTGCCGCCTTTGCCTGTGGCCCCCTCTCGATGCTCTCACTTCACTTCCTCACTGAATTCAAGGAGCACACATTGTGAACTGTGTTAAGGGATTAATTATTAAACCCTTCGGTATTTGTGCCTCTTAGTGATTAACTCTCATCTGTATTGAACAATTATTTCTAGAATGTTTAATTTCTCACAAGCACCTTTGATTTCCAGCTCAAATTTTTATGGTCATAAACAATCCTAATAATTTACATATTTATAAGCATTTCCATATATGTTCATTAACCTTTTGACAACAGAATGATGGTTTTATTTTTGCAATAATTCATTATATTTAGAAAAACATCACTCATAAAGCTAAGACAGCTTGATCTGGTTTTTTCAAATTTTCAGAGTATCAGATCATTGTGAGCCTAATTAAAGTCTGGCAGCTAACAGAAAAGATTCCAATAAAACTACAGAATTTCTAATGGAGATTTTTAATACCACTGTTTTATACAATGTATGCTAATTAATCAATTTGGCATTAAATTTTTGATTGGGTAATTTTGGGAAAGCAAGCCAGAGAGCATAGATAAGCAAGGTAAGCCACAGACATGCAGGAGGGAGCTGCCATCTGTCCGGACCAACTTTAGTGCCACCCCCCACCCCCCACCCCCCAGCTGCTCTCAAACCCGGCCAGCCTGGACATCAGCGCTGGGGCAGGAGAGAGAGAGGGCGGCTGACGAGGAGAACTCCCTGCCGTGGCCTGCCGTGGCCTGCCGTGGCCCTGGGACACAGAGCCGGGGCGGGGGGGCAGAGGGATTGGCAATCTGTGCTGGGTGTGACCCAGGAGGAAGGGACGGGGGCCAGTGAGCAGACGGCAGAGACTCCTCCAGGCCACGTCTGTAAAGAAACGTGGCCTTGGTGCTGCAAGCAGCAGGGACCACGGAAGGGTGTTAGCCACAGGAGCAGCGCATACGTGTGCATACGTGTGCCAAGCAGTATCACCGGGCGGGGGGGGGCTGCTGATGGAGCCACGGTGGGGCCAGAACCCGTGCCCGCCACTGCACTCACCCTGCACGTGGACCTTACGTCATCACGGCGCTGCCACCGTCACGATCAACCCTTTGCTCCCATGCCCTCTGAGATCCTTCTCGGGCAGAACGCCCTCCTCGGCCACGACCCCCGCGCCCTGCCTGGGGGCACATTGGGGGCCCAGCAACCACCCGGTGCACCGAGGAAACACATCCCCAGCAAATATTCACAGATTTTAAAAATGGACCCTAGCAAATACTGAGAACTCTCCGTTGAACTTTCATTGCAATTATAATGATCATTAATTCTCAAAGTGATAGAATTTAACAAACAGTGGGGCCCTGGGTGGCTCAGTTGGTTAAGCGACTGCCTTCGGCTCAGGTTATGATCCTGGAGTCCCGGGATCGAGTCCCGCATCGGGCTCCCTGCTCGGCGGGGAGTCTGCTTCTCCCTCTGACCCTCCCCCCTCTCATGTGCTCGCTCTCTCTCATTCTCTCTCTCGCAAATAAATAAAATCTTTAAAAAAATAAAAAAATAAAAAAAAATAAAAAAAGAATTTAACAAACAGAAAACAAACCCATAATCCATAGAAATAAATGCCTCTGGCTTTTTCTGATCAAACCTCACCTCACCCTGCAAGGCATTAAATTTCATTAAAATTTGTATCTTAAAGAATTGTTACATCATGACTACTTCTTTACTACAGTTACAAGTCCACAGGGAGGAGCCACCCCCGACCCTGAGTGTGGACGATCTACGCCACAGGACAAGGGCCGCGTCCTGTGCACCCCGCCAGCGCCCGTCAGCGGCGAGCTCGCGCCAGGGCCGCAACACAAGGCTTACAGTCGTCACCACCAGAGTCCCGGCTGGGAAATAAGGACACAACAACCCCCCAAACACCAACCAAGCTCCATGCATCCTGTGTCTAGAAAGAAAACACACCGCTGACCTCTTAGGATGGCCCCTCCTGTTCCAACTATAATTTTAAAATGTAATACTAATTTTCAATATGTAGAAGGTGATAACGTCCTGACAAACAGGTGATGAGTAACACGGGAGAAGAAGTAAATGTGACACTGTGTGAAGAACTCAGTGAGATACTTCTTCCTTCGCGGCGGGAGGACGCAGGGGAGGACGGCACAGCGGGCCCTGGCCTCCGGCACCGACGCAGCCACCACGGGCTGTTCCGCGGAGGGCTACTTGGTGCAGACGCTGGTCCGCCGACCGGAAGCCAGCCCTCGCCCCCGCTCCCCTGCAGCCGGCCGTGTGTTCCCGTGGGAGCTGACTCCCGCCAGGGGCCCTGGGAGGGCTTCTGCCAACAGCACGGGAGTGGTTCAGAAGCACAACGACCTGCAGGTACGAACGGCCTGAGACTGGCTCCGCACTGGCCGGGCCGGGCGGACAAATGTCCCTCTCTTACAAACGGCCAGGACTAGAATCCAGGGTCCAAACAGCCGCCCTGTGGCTGGCTGTGATGGGGCCAGACCACTCCTGCCCTGGAGGCCACAGTCTTAACTCCTCGTCCTGTGCGGCGAGCCTGAGTGCAGACGAACGAGCCTCAAGAACGTATCCTGCTTCTGATCCCTCGGCACATCCTACCGTGCTTATGGCAGGGACAGGGATATAGAAAGGGGAACAACCAGATAGGGTTAGTACAGTAACTCTCCATTATAATTTATCACGGTTTTTCTAATTAAAAACTCTGAAAGGTGTTCCAGTGTCTCAGCTCAATGCCTTATTCAAAATGCACACTCTTCAATCTGGCGCACTGCAGCCATTCACCTAAGACCGTAAGTCACTGAGAGCATGACAATTCCTACACTACTTACCGAAACCCTGAATGCTCATGATGCCCCTCAACAGACTCATAAAACTAAATGCTGCACAGCCATTAAAAAACCTTTGCATTCCTAAAATCACGGATGGGGGAGCACCTGGGTGGCTCAGTTAGCGAAGCATCCAGCTCCTGATTTCGGCTCAGGTCATGATCTCGAGGTCATGGGGTCGGGCCCCACGTGTCCCTCTCCCTCTGCTTCTCCCCCCACCCCATTCATGTGCTTGCTCTCGCTCTAAAAAAATTAATAAATACAAATCTTAAAAAATTAAAAAAAATTAAAATCACTCATGGGGAAGGTATTCATGGTGCAGTAAGAGGGAAGTTCACACTACATGACGTATATACGAGCTCACTTCTGTGGAAATGTTAACACACATGTCTATATGTCTCCATATAAAGCTTTTGGAAGGGTCGATACACTACAAGGTCAATCACAGTTCCGTCTGGCCGTGGATTTTTAAAAACAGTCTTCTGTTTTATCTGAATTTCCCTGTCTCCTTATTGCATCTAACACATTACTTGTATTTTAATCAGAAAAAAAAAACTCTTCAGTTTTGAAAACGATGCCCAGCAGATGCACTTAGGAAAAAAGAAACTGAAGGGTGCCACGACCCCCCCCGAAGGGCGGGGCGGCGCCCTACCTGAGAAGCAATGTTGAGCGTGACCGTGTCCAGTCCTCCGGAGAGCAGGCCCTGAGTATCGGCCAGAGTGAGCGTGACGCTAGCATCTCCTCCGACTGCTGATGAAGCCATGACCAGGTTCTGAGCAGACATGGCCGATGGAGACATGGGTGTCGTCGCAGGGAGGCTTCCAGGGGTAGCATTCAGCTCTACGAAAAAGGAAGACGCACTTCAGCGGCAAAGCTGGGCAAGTCCAGTCATAACAGGACGGGAGGGTGGTTTTAGGAAGGAACTAATCTGTCAGAATCGGCGTTTACATTACCTAAGCTTCTGAAATTACACCGAGATAATCATAGAATCTCTCATTCCAATTTTAAGGCCAGGCTTCTACAGTTTCTGAATCTCTTTATGCATAAATACACTTTGCTTAAGTATGATATCAAGAAAAACACAGTAAAAGAGTAAAAATGTGACGCTACAGTCCTAGTCACTACTGCTAAGGCAGGAGGAACTGCCAAGAATTTCCAGGACACTGTCCCCGTCCAGGACCAGAGAGGAGCCTGCAGAGAGGAACCAAACGGGACCCACCGAGCATCGATCGGCAACACGGCTTTACAGTGTGACCTTAACTGCTTAGCCCCCGCCGCCCTCCTCTAGGTCTGCTAAGGCTGAAATAAACCTCATGCAACCCTTTAAATATTAATTTATCCTGCATGGCATCTTACTTTTCTTTGGAAAAGACAACAAGACTTTTTAATACTTTCCCCTTGCAGCCAATGATAAGAGAAAGGAAGATATCTGGGACAGAATCAGGCAAAGAAAGGCCTTTTCTTTTACAAAACAGAGACTCGGCTGGCAAATGAGATGGGCTGAGCACGGGATTATCAAAGTCCTGTGGTGGACAGCAACAGAAAACAATTTTTGGAGTTTTTACTTGTAAGCATAACACACATGCACATGCGTGCACACACACACACACACACACACACACACTGCTCACCATCTATCCTTCCATTCATCTGACAAACGTGACTTATCATCCCCTGTGTCAGCCACTGGGCTAGGTGCTACAGATACCAAGATGGTAACTAAAGCAAAAGGTGAAAACACTATTTCCTAATTAGGTTCAAAAACAAAAAGAGACTCCTGTGGATACTTTGCTGTGACTTGGGTCCCATTAGTCCAGAGCCTCTGCTCTGCGTCAGGGGCCAACAGGGAAACTAGGTTACTTACTTGTAACTGGAGTCCTCCAAATACAATGCCTCCATAGATCCACACTCTTGGAGTCCCACACTGTGTTGCACAGACCTGGAACCTTCAAAAGCAGTATAACCATTAGGAGGCTAGGAGTCTCTGCTCTGCAGCAGCCACCGGGGCTCCGAAGACAACCTCGTCCGACCCCCCCCACCGTGCTGAGCATCTGCGCAGAGTGGACTGCTGGGACACGCTGGGACCGGAGGAGTGTGGATTTGTGGAGGGTGTATGTTCTAAGCACTCCAGTTACCAGTACCTGGGTCAACCTCGTGTTCTCACGTCACCTCCACGCACCCTTCCTCTTGCAGACTAGCATGCACGTATGATTTTAACAGGAGTAGACGAAGACTAAAAAGAAGGATCCTGAGAACATGGCAACGACCAGCTACGTGCACTGATGTTCAATCAAAATCACCAGGGTGAAGACTGGGGTTGGGCCGTCAAAGCGCCCGGTCAAGAGAAGCACGTGGTGAAAGGCTCACCGGAATTATATCTACAAAGAGTGAAACCAGATGCTAACGGGGTTCACTGCGACTCACAAGGCCAAGACTTCAAGCCTCACCCGAACTCCTGAAATAAAGGAATGTCTCTTCTCCGCTCCCCACCAGCAGAATCGGACTCCCTGATGATCATTAATGCAGTGAGGGGGTCCAGGACTGTCAGGCACAGGAAATCCAAAGAGAAAACAGAAGCCTGTCACTGAGCTGAAGTGAATCCCGACACGGAGGTCAGTGGGGACACTAACCTCAGCCAGTGCTAGACTTCACATCTCTACGCCAACAGTGTGTGAATGAATGTTCAGCTATGTTCCACATTCAAGACATTTTCCACCAAGAGGATGGTATCAGTTCAAGTAGAACTTCTATCCTCGGGCACCTGGGTGGCTCAGTCGTTAAGCATCTGCCTTCGGCTCAGGTCATGATCCCAGGGTCCTGGGATCGAGTCCCACATCGGGTTCCCTGCTCGGCGGGAGGCCTGCTTCTCCCTCTCCCACTCCCCCTGCTTGTGTTCCTGCTCTCACTATGTCTCTCTCTGTCAAATAAATAAATAAAATCTTTAAAAAAAAAAAAAAAAAAAAAGAACTTCTATCCTCAAAATGGTCCAAAAACAGGTAATGTGAGTAGGAAAAAATGAAGTTTTCTTAAACACGCAATAGCATAACTAATTAAATGCTATAATTACATTTGTTCAATATATAGTTCTTAATTATAGAGAAAAAGATTTATTTAAAGCTCTAGAAACCACAGTTTCATTCAAACTAAATACTCTCAACCTGGAAATTAAGGTTGAATACTTGAGCACAGACTGCAAACTCTCACCTTCAGTCCTCATTTACCGGCTCTGAAACCACAAGTCCTCCAGGCCACATCGCAGAAATCTAAGTCTTACTCAGTTGACGGTTCTAACTCAAAAAAAGTCATCTCTAAAGGATGAGTAAATCCCTCATGGTCATCAAACCCATCACTGTCTTAAATCCTTATTGGGATAATCTTTATAGCTTCTGAGAAAATGATAATTTTGGAAAGTTTCATAAGCAGTTTAAAGGATGTGAGATCAGTTTTCTTCTTGAGATAAAAACGTGGCAAGAAAGGTGTGTGTGTGCTGGGGGGGACTGCGGGAACAGGGAGACACATCGTCTGGCCATTCATCCCCAAGGAGAAAGTGGGGAGAATGTCCTCCGTAATTATAAAATGTACCCACAAATGGGAAATGTTAAGACTTCTGAGCTGCTGGGAAGGAAGTAATTGATCGTACTTAAATCTGGAAGAAACAAAATAACCTTACAAAGGAAGGAAAAACAGAATTGTGGCTTTTTTTTCCCACTGAAAACATGACTCAATTTATTTATCAAAATTATGTTAATAGTGGACAAAGGTAAGAACCAAAAGATAACAGCCATCTGAGATAAATTCCTTAAAAAGCTGTGCTAAACTTCCAGCCCGTTAGTAACACCTTCTGCCTCTGCGAGGGCGCTCACAACACGTGGGACCACATCCTAAGAAAACCACGTGTGTCCGGTGTTGTCGTGGATGCGTCAGGGTCAGACCGTGAAGAGGCCTCCGACCCCATGTCAGGTATCTGAACAGAAGCCCATGCTTCTGTCTTGCACGGGGAACGCTGCGGTCCTTGTTTATTTACATGCCCCTGAAAGGGAACGCCCTTGTTCTTTTCAGTGCTGCAGTTAAGATGCCAAGGGCCAGATCTGTCCCAGAGGCTGAAAGCCTCAAGGGCATCTCATGCCCAGCGGGAACTCCAGGGGACAACAGCCCCGGGCACCTGCGCTGTGCTCTGATCTAAAGGGCCACATAAAGTGGCACTTGCAAACACTGAGAGTTTTTGTTTTACTGTTTTTCTTAGAAGAGGCACGTCTAATCACAAAGGCATTTTAGTTTCAATTCCTGGTGTGGCTTGAAGCTGGGCCTGGGAGTGACTCTGACCCTCAGGAAAACGTTGCCCTTTCAAGACGCCATCTCTTAACCGATGTTATACCCACGGGGTCAGTTCCACTATTATAACTCGTAGCAGCGGAACATGCAAACCTCCAAAAATACCTGCCTACCATCAAGGATTGAGTAGTTCAACGCAGGAAGAATCTCTTCCCATATCCAGGTTTATTCAAAGACGCCAAAGGTACCGGAGGACATAATACAAGTGCTCATAGAAAACTAACCCTCTATGTATAATAGCAGATATGACATCATTAAACATTCTAAATTAGGAGCTCAACTTTTATTTCACTAAATTCCTTGGAAGAAAATTTTAAATAAGGCACCAAATTACGCTAAAGGAAAGAAATGTTCTCAGTTGGCTCTAAGACAGTAAAGTGTAAAGAAGAGACAAAGATTAAGTCAGGAAAAGGGGAATGTGTGTGGCTTTTAAAGGACCACGAGTGCATGATTCACAGTGGCCTTATGCACAACAGCTGTTCCAAACACCCCCCACCCCCACCCCACCCCCCTGCTGCACGGAGAGACCGCTCCCCTGCAACATGACATCTGTCACTAAGTGCGCAGGCGACACAGCAGGTAAAAGACCCCACGTCTCACCAACCAGATGCCGGCAGAGCCCCCGGAGCGCATGTGTTCTCCACCCTGAGCAGAACACGTCCCACTTTCAACGAAGTCGTCTGCTGTACCAGCAAACATCCAGGATCACCAAAGGAGCATAAAAAACCATTTCATTTAAATTAAAACACCGAGAACTCTCCTGGTCTTTCCATCCACTTGCCAAGGGCTCATTAAAGAGGTCAAGCAGAGCTTCCAGAGACACACGATCCCACCCCTGCCGGCCAGTTCGCGCCCCAGGGAAGCGGGCCGGGAAGAGCTGAGACTGCTAACATTCCAGAACGGAGCCCACGAAATACAGAGAGCACAGATGCAATGGAAACATCACGGGCCAGAAATGCAGCTGGGATTCTGACAAAGTCCTTAACCACACAGGTGCCCGCGCACACGTGAGCAGACGAGAGGGGTGGACAGAAAGTTCCTCCGCTGTGCCGAGTGGCCCGTGCCCCGCTTGGACGTGCCAGCCCGCCTCAGCTCACGGGCCTCCGTTCAGCACCGCGCCGCCACTCAGGATAGACGCCCCGCTCTCACAGAAGCCGACCCCAGCAGGTCAATGCCCTGTGGCCTCGGACCTGCTCTCCTTTATCTGTCGTTACCGCCACAATTTTACAATGCTTTACAGATTCTTCAATGAAGTCTGTGCTCCGTCAGTTTCTAGGGTCCAAAATGCAAAGGGGCTACGTCTGTCCTGCTCAGTGTCACGTTCCCAGATTCACTACAATTCTTACCACACGATACACTTACAGTCTTTTGTTGAAGAAATGAACTACTGCGTAAGAAAGCATTTCAAATAGGCATGAAAAAAAAGCCTTCCTGTAGCTACTAATATATCTAAAAATTAATTTTTTTCTCAAAAAATGATAAAGTTGGAAAATTAGAAGGCTAAGAAATGAAATAAAATCTCTACAAGATAAAAAAAAGGAGACAGGCATGTCATCGTAATGTGATGACGAGTCCTTATGAATCTGAAACTTATTTTACTGGAGCTCATTTGCTTTTATTTGTCAAAGTCTACACTTCAAAACCTTAGAAAGATGCCTTTTTAAAACCGTGTTCTCGTCGTGTGGGCTGGCGCCGGGAGAGTCTGGCTGCGGGGCACAAGGCCATGAGCTAGGCAGGTCCCCACACAAGTGGCGGGGGGCGGCTTCGGGACGGAGTCCTGAAAATGCCCACGCGCATCAACACATGGCACCCTGTCTATCTGAATGAGACGATTCACTTTTACTCCTCAGTCAGCAGAACGACTAACTGGTGGGTAACTCTAGAGCGGATCTGTATCCTGGACGGAGAGACGAGCACACGTCCCGGGTGGCAGAACACGCCGCTGACACACCAGTCAGGAAAAAAGACGGGCGCCTTCTCTCCTGCGACCGGGACACAGCCCTGCGACTGGCTCCCGGATCACGTCCCTGGTGCTGACGGGCTGGCTGCATACCTGAGGAGTTCAGGGTCGCGCTCTGGGCGAGCAGCTGGTCACTGCTTATGGTTAGGGTGGCGCCGGCGGACTGACCACTGGCAGCAGGAGCTGATAGCCTTATGCTTCCGTTCACTTCACTACTTCCATTAGCATTGTGCTGAATAAGATCTTGACCTAAATGGAAATTAATATTGTGATATCTGAAAGTAACACGTTAAGTCACATCCTGGCAAGCGGGTTAAACATAAAATAACATGCTATTAAAATGAAAGCTGTTTCATTTATGATAATATTTACAGAAAAGAATGAAAAGACCATGAAACACACTTCCCCTAAATGCCACTATTTGTTCACACTCTCCAAGCTGTAAAGCATTTTGAAGTGCTTCTCGAGAGTTCTACTTTGACTCAGTATTTAAAATAGGCACTTAAAATTACAAACTTTGTTGAATAGAACTTACGGCAAACGTGTGTTTAAGTGGATCGCAGGGACACGATAAAATGGCGCCCGACCCTCCCCTGACCTCCCACCGCTGGCGCTCGAGGAAGCAGCGACGCTGCGGCTCCTGGCTGAGGCTCCCCGCACCACGGCACTCGGGGCTCACACGTGCTTGGGGTGCACGCCCACTGGGAGGCACTGGCCTTTGGTTCTAAACCTGCACACGCCAGCTTCGGTAGCTACAGCGATCACATGCTGTAGGGAAACATGCACGGGAGAACTGGACAGTCTGCTGACGTGTCCACGAAACCCACACTGAATGCTTCGGGAAGACTGGACACAAACAAGTTACCCTAAAAAAAAATCTACCGTCAAGTTAGGCTTAAGCAAGACAACTCTGCAAACTGGAGGGAAAAGCATCAAAAGACAGAAGGACGCTGCCCTTGGCTGTTTCATCAGCGGCATCCTCACACCGCTCTACAGAAACAGAAAGGGGAAAGCAGCTGTGCGTGCCGGGCACGGGCAAAATGGAAAAGGCAGAACTCTGATCAGCACAGCAGACCCGTCTTCAAAAGGCCTGTGGATGAAGGGTCAGAGTACGTGGGGGACCACTTTTTTGATTCTCTGCTGAAAACTGCCTGAGACATCAGATAAGAGGGCTTTGGTATAGAGGAACTAGATCATTTGGGAGCCTGAGCACTATTTTTGCCTTTTACCCAATGTTCAGTTTCTTTCTCAAATGACCTCTGAACTGCTAAAAGTCCACAAAACTTCACTGACGTAACAATTGTTTCCTAACATGGACAAGCGTGTATAATTATACACACTAATGGAAAAAAGAACTTCCTACAAAATAACTGAAAATCCTACCTAGACGCTTTCAACAAGTGACCATAAATAGAAAGTCTTTTTCCTACAGCCTTTTCAGCACAGAGTAAGGAAACGCTGCCGTGTGAGTTGCCGATTCCCATGAGCACAATAATGACGACTGAGAAGACGAAGTCTCAAGCCCAAGGTTTGGGCAAACCCCGTGTCATCAACTGGTTTAAAGATTTCTCCGAGGATAAACCTTTATAGCTAATTTTTTTTAAAAAATTGGTTAAATTCGTCTCCTTACTGTTTTGAAAATACTGATAAGTAATAAAATAACTTCATGATCAAGAACAGGAAAACACAGAAGGAAGAGTAGCACGATCCAGACGCTAAGTAACACACGGTCTGAGCCGTCAGCAGGGCCCCTGCAGGCCGGGCCTGTTGTGCAGGACCAGCACAGTGCCTCACATACTGAGGGCACTCAGGAAAAGTGAACTCGCTCAACAAGCAAGTTCCTTAAAATAAAAAAAGTATTAAAATTCAGATATATACAAAGAACCCAGGAAGGCAATTGGATTATGTAAAATTGAAAGTTAATGTTTGCTGCCTAATAGCATCTAAAATCACTCCATGTCACTCAAAACCAAAACTCCATCCAAGAATAGGTTCAAGTTTGTCACATACAGTAAAAGAAATAAAGATACTCCCTAAAAAAGAAAGCTTTTCGTTTCCTTCTGAATAACTTTTCTACTGCACTCACATATTTTGCAGAAATCTCCCTGAAACACGAGTCTATTCGCCTGGCCTGCTCCCCTGGCTGGGTCGGCCCAGGAGTCTGCCCACCACTACTCCCTGTGTTTTAAGGGAAAATGCTCCCATGTCCACCATGAAGCTCCCTCTTCCCCAGCGACAGTGTCCTGCCTCCTAGCAAAATATTTTTCCTGTCTTTAACAACCACCTCATAAGGCTGCTGCGAGGCCTAAATAAATTAGTATTAAATGCGTCAATATTTGTAAAAATACTAGAATAGTGCCTGGCACATAAGGGCCACAAAAATTATTGCTACATTTACCGAACAGCTAGGAGTCACGTGGGCAAAGCACACCGATAAAATATGCTGCAGGCTGAGGTAGAGGAGAACGTGCTGGGAGAATTAATGACACCGGAGGACAATCTGACCGCGAGCGCAGCCGTCTCGACACGTAGGACTGGTTTGCCGAGTTCAAGGCACCTGCACACCCAGAGGGTACTTTCTACCTGTTCACAGACTTCCCAGTGCCTCAGAGCACAGCTTGTGCAGGACCCCGGGGAGGAGCGGAGGCATCTAGAACGTGCCCGCGCACACGTCATCCCAGCCACACACGCCTCCAGTTTAGCGGAGCAGGAACACGGACGAAGAAGCTATGTAGCCCGCTCTCCGTGGACCAGATCAGTGTGTCAGGACAACAGACTCAAGCTGGAGGACAGGAGTAACTCTCCCTGTTAATTTCTGGTATTTGAACTGTGACACTATTTCACTAAACCTGAATTTCCCACATTTATTACAAATGCATATTGAGCACTGGCTGTATGCAAAACTCTGTTTTGCAAAAACAAACAAACAAACAAACATACATATACATATGAATAAGATATACTCAAATCGCAGGAAAAAGCAGGTTTAAAATGTGAAGTGACTAACCAGAGATGGTCAGGGTGATTTCCTGGGGAGACCCTGAGGACGACGCAGCGGTGGGCCCGGCAGCCTGCGCCAAGACCTGGCTCAGACTTGAGTTGTTAATGGTCAGGGTGATCTCGTGGGGGCCGCTGGAGGTGGACACCAGGCCTTGCGATGTCATCACCTGAGAGAGGTCTTGAGTCCCTGGTCATCATTACAAAACAAAATAAAGCTGGGCTTAAGAAAATAGTAATTTTCTCCTTTTTTATATTAAAAATGTTTAGTGAGACAGTTATTTCAAAAGAAGATTCAAAAGAAGACATCAGTCATCTCTAATTCCCTCCTGCAGAGAGATAAGAGAGGCTTACGCTGAAACCGGAAGCCAACAGGACCACGGGAACAGGTGCGGGTAGCGATCTATGAGCGTACGGTGACTAGACATCACTGGTCACCGGGGAAGCTTGGGTACGCTTGGGACATTTGACGTGTTTGCTGAGCTTCCCAAAGACAGAAGGGGCAGCCCAGTGTCCTCAGTGCACACGGCGCTCACTTACCACTGCTGCTGGTGGTCATCACAGGGTCCTGCTCAGACAGCGGGCCGATGGTCAGACTGGCGGACGTCACGGTGGGCTGTAAGGACAGGCCAGGGATGGGCTGGATGACGACACTGGCTGGGACCGTGCTGTCCTGGGTCTGAAGAGAGCTGCTCTGTGAGGCCAGGCCGGGCTCCCCCGGCAGCTGCTGAGTAAGCAAGTTGCCCTGCTGTAACGTTTGCTGCAAAATAGTCGGGTCAATCTGCAAAGCAACGGAGATACTCGTCGTGGGAAGTTCTTGCTTACGTGCGATTCTGACCACATCGAAGCCCGGGATGCCATGGCACGCGTCGTACCTGCAGCGTGATGTTATTAATGCTGGAGGCATCGATTCCAGAGATCTGAACGTTGGGGCCGACTAGGTTAGCGGCCAACTGTAACTGTATGCCCTCCAGGGTGGTCAGGCTCCCGTCCGTCAGGGACACTGTCCAGTCACCGCCGGCTGCAGGGAGAGACAATGCAGATGACCGCCTTCGGAAAAGCTCCTTCGACAGGAAAGAAGCTCATTCTCACGTAGGGCTTTTTGTATACCCAAGTCCCACACCTCGCCAACATGATCTAGTCACAGGTACTAATAATTACTCCACGCCATACACACACCTTAGCTGATTCAGCGCAAAACAAATTCTCTGAAATAGATATTATCCATCTTAAACACACCCGGAAACTGGGCTCAAAGAGATTATGTTGATTAGCCCAAGAGTTAAAACAGCAATGAATAATCGTGTTTTTTCAGGCTTTAATCACTCCACGGGTCACATACACAGAAAGAAAGCCACAGGACGTGTCTGATAGCTAGAATCAGTCACTCTGTCAATCCACGAAACACATAAATGGCCAAAATGTATACTTTTCAAGCACAAGGTGACCCAAGAGCAGTTAGCGAACTCTCCCATGTTATCTACACTGTTCATGAGGAGTTATCAAACACATCTCACTGTGACGTCCGTGGGAGGATGCTGAGAAAAACACACATTTAAACTCAGTAAGAAAAAGCAGATGTCGTGAAAGGAGAAGGAATGGAAGGGGAACTCATCTGCACAATGAGATTTTAGTCTTCCCAGCTGCCCTCTATGGGGAACTTCCAAGGAAGACACAAGTCGCCCAGCTCCCAGCAGCGTGCCCCCAGCAGACAGGCAGGCGGTGTCCGCGCCCTCAGGGCCCCCTCCCCAGTGCCCCGGGCTCACCGGACACGGAGGCAGGAAGAATAGCCTGGCCCACCAGGCCTTGCTGAAGCACGTTTTGATCGAACTGTCCCGTGAGAACAGAGTTGTTCATGATGAACACGTTGGGGTCGGTGGACGTCGGACTGAGCAGGTTCACGGGCTGCAGTCCCTCCGAGGAGCTTCGAGTCACTGGCTTCCGCGCCTTCTTCGGGTCGGGCTTATAATGGAACTGCATGTGAGTCTTCCTCCGCCCCGACGTGCGGAAGCGCAGCTCGCAGTGGGGACACTTGAAAGGCTTCGCTCCTGTGTGCAGACGCATGTGCACCTTCAGGCTTCCCTTCGTCGAGAAGGCGTTGCTGCAGACGTGACAGCTGAAGAGCTTCTGACCTGTGGGGAGTCCAGCCATGGGTCAGGGGGGGCCGGCGGGGTGCTGACCCCGGGGGCCCGAGTGCTTGAAGGGAGCCCCGTGCTCCCACAGGACGCCCTGCAAGGGACAGAGTGCTGCTACACAGACTCTGAAGTGAGTAGGCGGTCTACAGTGTGAGCCCGGCGCTGTCCCCGTGCTCAGACTCTGCGGCGCGTGGGCACCGCTGCCCACCCTGAACCTCGGCGGAAGCTGAGGCCAGCGTCCCCGTGCCTCGGTGCAGAAAGGGCACACGCGTGTCTCGGCAGCTGTCTCTCACACCCGCACAGGGGGACAGCGCCCTGGGGCCACAGGTGTGCATCCCACGTTCAGCCCCTGGGACTCTGCGCTTTTCCTGTGTCCAGGGCATGATGAGGGCCGTGGAGCTGGACCTGAGTGCCCTGTCACCCACCTACTCTGCCCCAGAGAGGCTCTGGGAGGACAAAAGCATCCTGGTTTTCTGCTTCCCTCTACTGCTCCCAGAAAGCAAAACTGACTCTTTTTTACCAGGGTGGGCACACAGGGAGGGACTCACCCCAGGCGAGGGAGGCCTGCTGTCCCAACCCTGCTCGGGGGCCTCAAAGGTCACCCGAGGAGCCCAGCGTGGAGGAGGAGGCCTGAAAGGTATTCCTCAGAGAGACTCTTCCTTCTGTTCCTTATGCGTGGGAGCCAGCCCTGAATCCCGCGTGTGCGAGTCGTCCTGAACACCACCGGCACCGGCCGTGCGAGCGACCACCCCCCACCGGACCTGGGATGCCGAGCGGACCCCTCCTGGTCCTCGGCAGCTCACGGCGTCACACAAGAGAGACAGACACATGGCACCTAACAAAGTGACAGAAACACTTCCCGCAGAAGAGACACACTACATTTACGTATCTGTTTAATTCCAAATATTGACCTATCAGAAAACAATCATACGGCTTTACATAAGTGTGTAAAATTTCTTTTGCATATTTTTGGTCAGTTCTGCCGGTAACCAAAAATTAAGAATAGAAATTAGTTTGATAACCATAATCCTCTACCATTTCCTAAGAGTTCACCACGTGCCACTTTCTAAGCGATAACTGGAGGCTCAGAGAAGTGGCTTGGAAGTGGACACACACCTCCAACCTGGCAGAGGTGTGAAGCCTGCCCCCCTAACCACCGGGATGCCCTGTACACATCAAGAAGCAAAGCCTCAATATATTTTCACTAGGACAGCTCACCTTCAGTTCCCTCAGATGAGATGAAGGGGAAAAAGTGGCCGTTGAAAACTGGACATTAATATTTTTCCTTTATAACATTTCCCCCCCACATAAAAAGAATTATTACCTGTGAACTGTAATGAGATTTGCTAAATCCCCAGATCTTGTAAAACCTCAACAAGCCAAATCTTTTTGGCCTAAATGAGACTAAGGAGTAATTTTCTTAACAAAGGTGTTCAAATCTGAATAAAAATACAAGACAACCTATAGTCTGGCATCTGAGATCAAGCTCCTTCTCCTCAGTGTTATCTGGGTCATATCCCCCAAGTCAGGAATCAAAAATCCTTATATACCCATTTCTCCGTGGCTCAGGATTTTTAATCTTTCTATGGTTTTGAAAGTATTTCTGTGGGCAAGATACACAGGAACAAACCTCAAACGCCCTTGTAAGGCCCCTACGTATGACACAGCCACTGTCCTTACCTGTGTGGGTCTTCACGTGGCAGTCCAGGGTCGACTTAACGGTAAAGCTCTTCCCGCATTCGTCACATTTGTATGGCTTTTCTCCAGTGTGGATCCGAACATGCCTAGCCAGAAAGCATTTGCAATGAAGTGATTTTCAGTTTAATTTTACATACGTTTACAAACAACCTCATAACTATCCACATAAATGAAAATTATGTGTTAGTACAGGCTGAATATATTTGGCCAAATAAAACCTTTAATCTTCGCTCTACACAAAACACCACAAACAAATCCAGAAGAAAACAAACAAGCAAAGAAGTCTGCAAGACCAGTGAAAACAGGGGCTTTCTCTGAAACCAAAGAGCGCTTATGAATTGGTAAGAAGATGAGAAGGATCACAGTGGAAGAACGGGCAATGCACAGCTTAGAGAAGAAACACACATGGCCAAAGCCCCGTGAAAGGGTCCGGCCCATACTCAGCACCTAAAAGAGCAAATTAAAAGGATAAGACAGCATTTCCCTCATCCGTGTGCTGAGGGCGCGGTTGGGGTGGTTGGGGAGCATTGAGAGGCCAGCGGGCATAAGTGGTACAGCCCGTCGGGAGGCCAGCAAGCGGCATCTGCCAACACTGGCCCCACGCTCCCACGGGTGCACGCAGAAGCACTCAGCGCGGTGCCCACGCGGTGCTCGTGCGGGACTCGTATAGTACTCTTTAGTCCCCGTGTGGTGCTCGGATAGTACTCTTCTGTGCACACGTGCAGCTCATATAATACTCTGCAGTACTCACGCAGTACTTGTAGAGTGCTCGTGCGTTGCTCATGCGTTCCTCACGCAGTACCCATACAGTACTCGTGCAGTACTCGTGCAGTAATCGAACACAGAAAGCTAAGTGCTCACAGCGGGGTATTATGGGATAAATTCCAGTATCCCCCGACAACAGAACACGATGTCACCATTAACAGGAAAGAAACGGGTGTGCAGGCACTGACAAAGATGCCTAAGACCCAATGATGTGTAAAAATTATGCAACAAATAAAATTACAGAACTTAACGCTGACACACTTGTGGACATTTCCCAAAACCGTACCTAAGAAACTGCTGACTGGCTGTCTGTGGGGAGCAGGAAGGACCATTTTTCACCTGACGGCCTCCCGTGCTATGCTTCTGTTTTGTTTTGCTTCCCTATGATCTCTGCCCAGTATCAGCGGGACAGGCTGAGCTGCCCACGACTTTTAAATGCAGGACGGAACGAGAGGATCAATCAGCTGTGAGGCTGCCCGGCACTCCTTGCTGTTAGGCATCACTCTCCATGTCGTGACGCAGAGGCGTTCATACGTGCCGACAGCCAAGCGGCTTCTCGCCTCTGCCCTGTGTCCTGGCGGGCTACCCCTCGGCACTGTCCATAGGCCCAGAGCCTCGCAGGGGTCTGACGTGGTGTGTGGATCCCCGCAGCGCTGCCTCCATCACCTCCAACTGGCAGCCCTGGCCCTCAGGGCATTCTCGTCGGGGATTCCCACCAGCCCCTCACGCTGACCTGGCTCTCCCCACCAGCTGCCCTGTACGCTCCCCTCCTGGCGTCCCTCCTGCCAGGTTGCACTCCTACCTACAAAGCTCCCCAATTCCTTCATCAAAGCGCCTAGCGCTCTCCTTGCCATATGCTTTGCTGTCTTACTCCCCGGCCTCGAGTGCACCCCTCACCTCAGGGGGTGCCCGGGAGGGACAGTGCCGGCTCCCTGTGGACTCTAATCCCCACTCACCCACTTCACTATCACCCTCACCGGCATACTTCCCTTCCCATGTGGGAAGAAGAGTGCAGGCTAGCTGTCACCTTCTACAGACTCGCTGGACATGCACTTCCAACCCGGGAGCCACTCTGCACCAGCCTCGGTCCCACCCACGTGGAGGGTCCTGAGAGCAGCCTGCTCCATCACCCACCACGAAATCCCAACTGCTCTCCCCTGCGCTATGCCGCCCTACACCTTCACCCATCAGCTCCCCGCTAGAGCGAACACTAAGTACCCTGTTTTGTACGGCAGGACAACGCTTTACCTCCCACTTCTTTCTCCCAGGCTCAGCCTCAGGGTCCGGGGTTCTAGTTCTTCACCGTCCTGCTGGACTTGACCTCACGCCAGTCACTGCTGTCAGGCGGACTGGCCTTAATCACAAGCTGCCTCATGACACTGTCACCATCCACCCTGGCGTGTGCTTGTGCCCTTGCTCCCTACGCAGACCAGCCCTCCTGGGGGTAGCAGGTCCCTGATGCGGTCCGCAAACCTACACAGCTTAGCACCATGTCGTCCTCAATAAATAATTCATTTTCTTTTTCTTTTTTTTTTTTAACCTGCAATAGTCCCCCTTATCCACAGGAATATGTTCTGAGACCCCCAGGGGATGCCTGAAAGTACGGATGTACCAAACCCTATGTATACTGTTTCTCCTGTACATACACGATAGTTCTCATGAGGCCGAATTTCTAAATTAGGCCCAGGTAAGAGACTAACTACAACGACTGACGATTAGGTAGAACGACCATAACACCACGCTGTGATACACGTCAGGTGAATGCGCTCTCTCCGTCACAGCACCGCACCGGACTCCCCCCCACCGTCTTCTGGGGGGAAGAGATGACGAAACACCCGCGTGAGGCAGAGGTAGGCCACCACGACCTTGTCACAAAGGTCAGGAGGAGGACGGCCCACTCGGGACGGACAGACACCGCGGATAAAGGGGCCTGTTCCCAGCACGGCCGTTCAGACTTGCGCACAAGCCATCTACGGAGCGCACTGCTTTCTCATCAACATTCCAAATGAGCCTGAATGGAAGCCCCAGAATCTACACCGGCTTAAAACCACCGCTGCAGAAACTGGCCAGCCTCTCGGGAGGCACCAGCCTCCAAAGCGGGCCTCCCTAGCCACGGCAAAATGGTCGAGATGCACACAGACGCTCCCGCAAACGCCCACAAGGGCGCCGGCGGTCTCACCTCACTAGGTCGCTGGGCTTCTTGAAGCTCTTGGGGCAGTACGAGCAGCAGTTAGCGTACTTGGGCTCAGCCTCCAGCTCCGCCTGCCTGTCCTTCATCTCGCTGATGCGGTCCTTCTCGGCCGCCGACTGCACCAGGACCTGCTCGGAGACGGTCGCACTTTCCTGCGGCCGAATCTTCGCTAACTGCGCCGTCTCCTCCTCCGTGAAAGTGATGACCTCGGGACGAACCTTTCGAGATGCACTTCTTTCAGAATTCTCTTCCTCTTCCTCCATACACACATCTAAATAAAACACAGGAAATGGATCCAATCCTCATAAAAAATTAAGTTTTCACGAAACAAGTAAAATGAAACCAAACAAGTCTGTAGGGTTTGAAGTGAGTTACTCGGTGAAGCTCTCTTTGGGACAAAGGCGTTTCCTTCGCACCGCTAGTCCATGGGGAAACCGAGATGCGTCCCCAGAAGGGAGAGGCACCGTGGCCACCTCATCACAACAGCGCCTCCCTGAGGCTCCCTGACCAGCCCGGCAGAGAGCTCCGAAATCACCAGCATCCACACACGACACCAGCCTTCGTAAACACAGACACTCTCTGACTAATACGGGCAAAAGCGGAATTACCATCACATAAAGAAAATCAACAGCCCGACAGAAGACCAAGGTGATAAATTTGCAAAAAGGCCCTAATTAGTTACCAAAAAAAACCCTTAAAATATATACATTTAAGCGTTCTCTCAGTGAGACATGAGGATATATTTACACTGATTGAAAACAAGAATAAGGTGCGATTAAAATCTAACAGAAGGAAAAAAAGTTGGCTGGGAGTGGGAGGTCAGAATGGCATAGATGAGTAAAAACTAAAAGAATAAAACCTCGACAGAAACACCACCTAGCCAAATGGACAGGGGCTAGCACCACTTTCGTGACAAGAGCTACGGGGTGTTTCTGTTAGGAGAAAGGGAGAACGATGGGAGGGAGGGAAAGAAGGAGAGAAGAAAAGAGAGGGGCCGAGGAGGGGAGAGGGAAGGTGGGCTGTGGAGGAGAGAACAACATCCGGAAAGATTTGGGGCCGTGGGGTACAGACAGTGGCCCCATCAGCACGGATAATGAAAGGTGGAGAGAAAGTCCCAAGAACCCAATCGATATGGCGAAGCCACGGGAGGACAAAGGGCAGTGAAACGGAGCACAACAGACAGAAGACACAGAACCGGACGGTGTCGGGCCAGACTCACTGTCCCAACACACGTGACTGAGGTAGACCCTAGGGTGGGAAGCCAGCGCATCAGCTGCTCTTCCTCAGGGACCCCAGAGAGGAAGACCTCATGACAGACTGTGGGGAGCTAACACAGGTAGCAGAGGGGCCAGGCCGCCACAGGAGCCCCCCAGCCGACGGGAAGGAACAGGGGCTCAGACCCGGAGGCTGCTGCATCAGCTCCACACCACGGGGTTCCAGAAACAGTACGCGGTGCCCTACGTTCTGTAACTCACTGCAAGGAGAAGAGTTCTTATTCTCTCCTTGTCCTTCACTCGTCACATGACCGAAGCGGAACAATGAGACTGAAAAGTTGGCGCCACGTCATGACAGAGTCCAAGAGGTCGGAAACATCGACGTTCAGAATGGCCCACTGAGGAGCCCAGAGCAGCATCTGCTCTGCTGTGGAGACGTCAGTTTTTACGTCTGAGGTCAGGCACATTTTAAAGACGTTTTCCCCAAATACAAGAACGAGCTACAGGGCCGTCCCGTCAGCCGAGCGCAGCGGACACAACCATGACCTTGAGGCCAGGTGAGCACAGAGCACACAGGGGTGAGCAACCAGGGACAGAAGCCAACGAGCCGCCAGCCTTCTGACGGCTGCGAGCACGCCAACTGACACTCACACCCCAGCTGCGTCACGCTCACTCCACGAACATCCCGCACCAACCGCGTGCACACAGGCCTCACACTGTGGATGGACCACCGTCGGGCGACAAGGCTCAAATGCTGTGGGGTCCAAACAGACAGCGGCACGTTCCCACTCCCGGAACTGCGCCCGTGGGATGTGCTAAAGAGCGGTCACCTCCGACACACACAGGGCTCTTCCCAGGAGGACGGCCCCGACTGGGAGCAAGGGGCGCTCGTCGGCGCGTCTGACCCCGAGCTAGCCACACGGCGCTTCGTGTCGACGAGCTGAGGTACCGCAGTGCACCCACGGGCCAGTGGAGGGGTGCAGCCCTCCCCAGCTGCTGGCTCCTGCTGGCTCAGGGAGAGACCCGGGCAGAAGGCACACACCCATCCAGAGGGAATTACGGAACAGAATACGACGGGCTTCCACGGAGCCCTTGGAGCTGACGTCCGCGACAGACCCCAGCGGAGGGAAAACTGAGGGGATCGCAGCCACCACGTACAGCCCGAGTCCCTGCTTGTCGAGAAATTAATGTCTCGACCACCACACGTATGTGCACGGCTACACGCACGTTCTGGGGTGCGGTGACTGGTGAGGTGGTTTCCTTCTCTGCCCTCTCTGAATCCTTTCCCAGAGAGCACACACTGCTGTCGTAATCAGAAAATATGCTAGTTTTAACGATGACGTGTGCACTAATCCATCCCTACACGAGCATCTGGTTACTGAGCCTCGAATCAACACGGGGCAGTACCTCCTCCTTCCGCGTCCCCCGTGGCGGACACAGCAGAGGGGACGGCCTGGTGCCTCTTCATATGCTTCTTACAGTGCACTGTGGTCCGGAAGCCCTGCTCACAGAACGGACACTTGTAGGGCTTCATGCTCATGTGCGTGGCCATGTGCCGCGTGAGGCTGCCGTTGGTCGTGAACGAGGCGTTGCAAACACTGCAGCTGAACGCCTTTACCCCTGTGGCAACGGAAACAAGAGCAAAATCCGCATTTCATTACGTTAAAGTCATCGGCAGTCGAAAGCAAACAAAGATTTGTTCGAGAAGCCACAAAACTGAAGACCGTTTATTTGCCCTGGTCTTATTTTAGGAAATGGACGCAGCGTGTCTTACGACTAATTCCCTACTGGAATTAAAGGCACAAGAACATTGCTCTAAACAAATGCCAAGCTCTCTCTGTGAGAGCTCCCTCCTCCGTCTTTGACATTCCAGCTGGCAACATGCAGTGGATTCTGCCCTAGAAAGGTTTTCTCAGATCCATCTTCTTTCACCATTCCACAGCCAGTGACGTGGGAACTGCCTACAACACCTGAGTACAGACAGCTTCACTTCCAAATCAGGCCCGCCAGGAAGGCCCTGTCCGCTCTGGACTGAAGACACAGAGGCACCTGACTGTCTAAGCACCTCGCTGACCAGCCACGGCTCCTTGTCCAAGTCACACAGGCTCCCCTCTGCTACAGGGAGTGCTGACTCCTTAGCAGGGCCTTCCAACCAGCCTTCGCGGGACCTGCCCTCCGTCTGTCTTCCCAGGGCCTGTGACCACCAACTGTGACTAATCCTACAAAGCCTATCCTTGTTCTGTCAGTATGTTTTTATGTTCAAATAAAGCCTTATACAGAAAACACTGATATTAAACAGATACATTAACATATGAAATAACCATACTGAATTTATTAAACAGACAAAAGTAACATATGTAAAATATATTTAGCTGCAAATCATATATCTGATAAAGAATATATTAAAAACTCTTTAAAAAACTGAACAATAAGATTGCAAATAATCTAATTCAAAAATGACATAGGATTAGAAGAGCTGCTTCTCAACACGCACATGAAAAGGAGCTCCGCATCCTTAGCCACTAGAGAAACGCAAATGAAGCCCAGGAATGGATACCATGGCACACTCCTAGGGATGGTCATGGTACAAGGGACAAACAACACCAAGTGCTGACCAGAGTGTGAAAGGGGCACCCTAGCTCATTGCTGGTGGGCAAGCGAAACAGTGCAGCCACTTGGGAAAACAGTCTGATCAACTCAAAGGCTTAAAGAGAGTTACCCCATGACCAAGTCATTCAGTCTTAAATGGAGAAATGGAAACACGTCCACGTAAGCTGCACATACATGTTCATAGCAGGATGATTCCCATGAGCCTAAAGATGGGAATTACTCCCACGTCCAACAGCAGATGATGGAGGAAGGAAAGGGGGTCCACCTCTACCGTGGAATACTATTCCGCTCCACAAGGGAGTGACGTGCTGCCTACATCTGGAAGAACCCCGGACACGTGCCCAGTAAAGGAAGCTGGAGCTGCGTGTTTGCATGTAGAGGAATGTACGGAACGGGCCGATCCAGAGATGGCAGCAGACCCCTGGCTGCCTAGGGCGGGGGCCAGGAGGGAAAACGGGGAGTGAGCACTCACAGATACAGAGCTGCTTCTGGCTATGATGAAAACGGTCTAGAAGGGGGTGGTGCTGATGGCCGCAGCCCGTCATCAACACCCTGGATCCCAGAAACTCCCCAGAGCAAGGCAGACAGTGACCTGTGTGTGTCTTCTCGTGCGACTTGAGGACCCCAGAAGAGACAAAGCCGCGTCCACAGAGCTTGCACTTGTAGGGCTTCTCCCCGGTGTGGGACCTCACGTGCTGCTTCAGGTGGCTGGACTTCTTGAAGCCTTTGTTGCAGTACTCACACCTATAAACACCGCGCGGGGAGCAAACGCCACGTCAGTTCACAGCACGGGCACGGGCGTGACCTCTGAGACCGGAGGAAGCACGGTCTCCCCCATGACCACTAAGCGCTCAGGCGCGACTGTTACACACACAGGCATGTGCTCCACCGTTGAAGAAATGACGGAATAGCAGCAGTGATAATTTGTCAGGTCAAATTCTGCTCAGAGTATCCGTAGTCTTAAACATATTTTGCTCTTTCATTATCAGTAAATCCTACAGCAATCCCCCAGGAGGCATACTACCTGACTAATCAGAAACTAACAGGAAAAAAATTTACTACAGACCGTTTTCTTTACTAAGTCGTACAAGACACTGTGAAACCGTCCACTGCCCCAGGGTCAGAATCGCCTCCTGAGTCCAGACACTTGGCAATGCCAATTCACATACTCTTTAGGTTTATAAAATACATGACAGAGCAGATTTTCCTAGAGCTATTTTGAATAATGTGTAAATGTACAGCATCATCTTCCCCTAAATTACAGAATATATTAAAACCACTTCAAGGATGAAATAATTATGAAGTATTTCAAAATTCTTATTCACATATTATTAAAAACTAAAAAAAGGATTTGGAACCCTTTTCCATTTCCCTGTCTGAGCTGCAGCAGGACGATAGTCACATCCCAACCACCGTCTCTGGGACCAGGTATCTGCACAGAGCAGCTAACAGTCCGCTAACGGCCAGGCCGAACTGAAGACCGACAAACCGGAAACACGTTTCGAAATCCCACTCCATGATACAAGCTGGGTTCAGTGAGGGTACCCATTAAAAAGAGAAAAGCAAGCCAACGGCACTCATCGACTGATCTGAGAAAGATAATGCTGCAAACGAAGCTGGGAGTGGTTCTGGTCTACACAGCAGCAGGAGAAAATCATCTCTGCAGAACTGAGTGCATCAAACTGAACCGTTGGAGGTTTGCTGAGAAAGGTCCTCTCGGGTCACATCTATGAACTGAAAGCAACCAGCACCGCCAGGACGACACCACCAGAGCTGTGGAGTCACAGGCACCCTCAGAGGACAGTATGAAGCCAGACTGTCCCCACCTGGCCCCGGCCGGGCTCCCACCCAGGACCAGCTCCGTCCACGGAGACGGGGCCCTTCTCTGCCTCCGACACGCTGCTTCCTTTCTCCCCATGGATGACCCCTGCCCACTCTGCCGACCACGCAGCTGTTCTCCCGAAGTGTCCAAGGACAACCTGGATGACAGAAGCCAACCGTGAGGACGCGCTCGCCCTGGGAGAGCCGCCTCGCCGGGAGTGCGCACGGCCTGCGGGTGCTCCGTCGCAGTGCAGGGGCCACGCAGGGCGGCGAGGGGACAGCCCAGCTGCCAGGGGCAGGGTCCACAGAAAGAGCTCCTCTGGAGCCGTGTGCCCAGGAAGCACATCCCAGGGAGCTTTGCTATTCTCTGCTTTTGTCATAATAATGAGGCAAAGGTAAAAAATATAATGAAATTATAGGCTGCCGGTTCCATGTTTCTTAATGTCTTGGGGGAGGATCCCTGACCTCCTTGCGAGTCCTATGAAAGTGACACACCACCTCCAATAATAAAACTATTAAAATATTATGAAGCCAAGACTATCTCAATAAAGACAATACGCATCTTGCTTCTTATATGACGCACAAAGTCGTATCCAGTTTTGTAAAACTACATGCATCTTATCCGCTGTGAACGTGCACGCCCTAGCGCGAGCGGGGCAAGAGTCTATCCTCGTCCACGCATCCAGGGCACTGCAGGCACGCTGAGGGCGCACAGTAGGGCCAATGAACGGACAGGTGCACGAGGATGAACAGATGGACTTAAAAACTGTCTCTGCAGTCATGGTGCACCTTGGTTGGTATGCATCAAGCCTACAAAGAACCTTCAACAACAGGCACACAGTAAATTTCAGTTATTTCTGAAAACACGGTAACAGGACACCACGACAAAGCAGGTTAAACCTACAGGCTGCGGCCTCCCACTTGGTCCTGTCACTAACTAGCTGCAGAAATCTTAGCAGGTGAACCTCTTTTGTCTCAGATCCTTTAATCATAACAAAATGCGGATAAGAGCGGACCCGTTCACAGCGTTTCTGAGAGAGGCAGATCGCAGAGGCCCGGCAGGGGGAGGCACACACTGGGCACAGCGGTCCGGCCAGCAGCGCCGCGGCGTGGAGCTGTGCAGACGGCTACCTGTAGGAGCGCCGGCTCTGGTCCTCCCTGTCCTCCAGGAATTGGGGACGCTGAGTCTGCAGCTCCAGTTCCTCTTGGGACGACTCTTGGATCAAACGCGTTGTCTAAAATTTAGAAGTATAAAGCAGACTACCTGAATATCTATAAATAAATGCAAAACAACGAACAACTAAGGATAAGAAATTTATAAATGCAGATTCAAAGGAGAAACTCCACGTGGCTCATTGTAAGCATTTGGCTAGATTAATAATAAAAATCATTCATACCAATTTTATTAAATACTTATTTACTTTCTATTAATTTGCTTTAATTCAAAATTTAGCCAACCATGAAACCGATCTGTCCATATTATTATGCATCTTAGTAAGAGATCACTGATCCGCTCTCATCTTACTGAGAACGAACATAGTCCTACTACCTCGCTTGCCACAGAACCACAGGGAGAGGAAGCACGTCCCCCGCCGGGAGCAACAGCATGCCCATGGGGAGCAGCCCGTTAGCACCATCCCTTCCTGACACAGGTGTAGCAAGCCCGCGACCCCAGCAGGAACCGAGCACGCCTGCTCGGGCATTTCCAACTCCTGCAGAAAACCATGACGCTCACTGGACAGAGGTAAGCTGACCTTCATCAGGACATGCAGAACAGGCCCAGGACCGAGCCGTGGACAGCCCACTCGTGCACAGCAACTTGCTGACCTGACTTCCCTGAGCAAAGCAGAGGGCCCCCCGTCCTGTCCAAGTGCGTCGGGCGTGTGGCTGTACTCAGAGGGCTCTGGAGTAAGGGGCAAGCCACCACAGAATGGCGTGCTTCCCACTGCCCAGACTCTACCCAGACTCAGCATCGGAATTACGTGGTTTCTACACTATGAAAAAGTGCTCTGAAATTTTCACTGGAGGGCCCAGACCTACCACCTGGAGAAGCTACCGACAGTGGCCCTGTCCTTTCTCAACGGTGGCTTGTAAAGAAAGAAAACAACTGATGGGCCAATCACTTCCATCACTAGTGAAAATTCTCCCCAAACGGGAAAATCAAAACCAAAACCAAAACCTAAATGTCTCCAACTAGACTGAGTAGAAATTTTAAATGATGTGTTTAAATATTTATTTTTAGTATGTCAGCATTCCTTCTATTTTCCTTCTAAGGTGCAAGATTCCACCAATAAAAACAGTTAGGTCACTAAAGCCACATAACACCCTTCACATGTGATTACACAGCACTTTACTGACTTTTAACCCAAAGGTAAACTCCCCATCACGAGATTGAAGTCTCTAAGTAAAATATAAACGTGTGACGGGAAAAGCCGTGTACGTGGGCATCTCAGCCTCACAGGTGATGTAGTCATGTGGCCACAAGAAGCGAGCACGCCCTCCTAGATAAGCTGAACGTGCATAAGTACAGCACAGAGGAAAACAGAATGTGCCCGCCACCCACACGCGCCCCTTCCGTGGACACTCACGACATTCATCGCGTCAGAGCTGGGGACCTGCAGCAGGTTCTGCTGGTGGAAGCTGGTGGAGAGGGCCTGAGACTCCAGCGTGCTGGAGTCTTGTAGCTGCTGGACGGGGGCAAACGTGGGCTGTTGGCTGTACGTATCCGTCACGGTAAAGCCTGAAACAAATCAGAAAATACGAGCTCGACAAAAAATACTACAGTCACACCAAAAAAAGGCCAAAAAAGTTGGCTTCACAAATAAAGATTTCTACCTTCTGAATTAGACTCAGGGTTAGCTTTTGCCAGCAGGCTCTGAGAACGCCCGCACACAGGCAGGAGGCTGCACCCAGCACCGCCCCTGCCAGGCAGGCTCACAGACGAGCCGCCAACGCACGGCTGCCCCACCGTGCGACTTCGACTCAGTCACCGTTTCTGGGCACAAACTACGTGCAGAATGGTCATCAAAGGTGCGTTCCAGACAACCTGAGCAGACCACCCGCATGCACGCATGTGCGCACACACACGCAATCCATGCGGAACGTTACCGGGTTGGAAATCATAAATTTCAGAAGGGCCTTAAAACAAACACCTCAGGCCATTGTAGAATCCTCCTGACCCGGGTAGAGCCCCTGAAACGCACGCGCAGGACCCACCACTGACCCTGTGACAAGCCACCTGGTTCGAAGGACGGCTGCGGAGGCGCCTGCTCTTCAAACTGGTCCATGTGCCCCTGGAGAGCGGGTGGTGGAGCCACGAACCTGTCTGAGATAAAAACACAGACAGGCGGGGAATTCACACATTTTGAAGATGCGCACATCCATCGATCTGTCCAAAAGGATACGCACATGAGGTTTCAAAAATTAGCCTCCTTACTTTGAAAAGACAGTAGGACGGCAAATTTTATATATACATATAATTGTATTTACATATTAACTTATTTACTAAATATTATATATAAATTATATATTCATAAATATATACCCACTTATATGTTTGTATGTGTGATACATATTTGTATATATTTATATAAATATATAGTTTTATATGTATATTATATATATATTTCACATATGGGGTATAGTTGGGGCATTATCTTTGAACTTCCAGAATATCACTTCACAGTTTACCCTAAAACTCAGCCAGTCTTCTAATAGGGAAGTACCCGGAGGACAATGACACTCAAGGACTATTTAACACCTTTTTGGATGTGCATTGTTCCAGGCAACACAGAGGATAAAAAGCACAAAATCCTGCTCATTGACTAAATACACCTGGGGCCTCTGTACTATCAGACCCTAAGCTGGCCGGCAAACAGTCTGTTAGCAGGCCTGCCCGGGACAAGCAGCCCGTTCCAGACACGCATCAACCACGTCCCCAAGCTCACTGTCTACAGCTGAGCTGACACCTGGTAGCAAGACTCCATCGACGAGGACAGCAATGGCCGGATCGCTGCAGAGGCCAAGGACAACGGCTCGCAGACTCGCGCTGGTGTGTGCGTCAGACTCTCGCTGCGCAGTAACAGGATACTAGTGATCAGACAGATGGAGTCTTACTGAAAACGAAAGCTACTCTCAACTCAGGATGTGTTGAAGGTCCTATGTCTGTAATTCTCTATCACAGCAAACTCTCTCTCAGGTGTACACACACAGCACAAATTGGGACTGAAAAAGTCAGAGATGAGAGACACCCATACAGACCGGAGTGAGCATACACGGCTGCAAAAGTATGCGGACTGTTCTAAGAGTTAGAACTTGGGAAATATTTGCCTTCATCTGCTTCCAGAGGCTGATGCGTCAACTGCTGACCCAGTCCCGCGTCCTCCGTGCGCACGACCTGCTGAGGCTCCAGGTCCAGCATGGCCTCGGGGTTCGCAGGGCCCGCCGCTGCCGCCTGCAGCTGCTCGCTCTCAATCTCCACCTGCATGTGCGTCGAGACGTGCATGCTCTGCTGGTCCACGGCGCTGTCGTCCAGCGAGGCAGCTTGCTGATGCTGCTGGAGCTGCTGGGCAAGCTCGTATCTTCAAAACATCAACGACAACCCGCACAGTTAGGTGCTGTCAAAACCTACTCCCGTGAAGAACTGCTGTGCGAGCCGCCAATCATTAGATAACATTTAAGAAAATTATTTCATTTTGAAGCCCTGGTGGCAATTCAGTTGAAATGAAATGCTATTAATAATTCTAAAGGAAAATCATGTTCCCTTGACTTTAAGTGATTTCACAGATGATAGGGACATGAAAGCAGCAAAGAGAGGATGAAGGACAACACACGCCAGAATACTTAAAATGTAAAAAGAAAATTAAAAAGATAACATATGTTCCAAGGTAAAACTGTCCCAGTTCAAAATTAAAATTAAAACTCATTCTGCAATAAGTAAAAAAGAACTGAACAAAACAAGATAGGGCCTTTACGGACCGATCTCAGTACTATAAACAAATGTGGTGCAGAGCCCGGGGGCAGAGTCCCATGACCTGCTGTCCCTCGCAGTCCGGGGCACAGACACCTTATTTGAGCAACGATCTATTGTGTGACAGAACACAGACTAGGAGGCATACACGTGGCTGCTCCTATTTTCTGCAAAACCATGCTCATGTTAATATTGCTGTTACATATAGTAAATACATGAAGTACATTTCCATCCAGGTCAACAATTTATCTTTCAAAGAGAAAACTGAACAGTGAATTCAGTGAATGAATCACAGAACTTAAAAAAAGCAGCTCAATTCCGATGAATAGGCTGCACCGTACTGGAGACATGGCCGGTCTGTCCTCTCCAAGACACCAGGGTCAAACACAAACACACTCCACCATTTGCCTGATTCCAGAATCTTACGAATCTGCCTACCTAGAACTCCATTCTAGTTCCAAACAAAACCTTTCTTCTTCATTTTCTAATATCAAAAATAGTCACCTCTCAACGACTTTCCCTGAGGAACGGGGAAGATGTCATAGAAATAGGCAAGTATGAAAACGTACACGGTGACACCTTCACTCTGACTCAGCAGTGCCAGGACGTTCACCCCGGGCCCCTCCACGACCCCCCACAGGGGAGCAAGTGTGCCTTGCGTGGTGACTTTTTTTCTGTACTTTTACTACTTTCTATACTACTCTATACTTTTACCTTTTATACTTATTTTTAATGTAAGTGTATATGGTATTTTAGGGATTCCCAGCACTTGAAACGAAGGGATGAAACACGGGAGCTCCTCGCTGCCTGCAGGTGGGATCAAGAGTCCATACAACCCGTGGACGGAGATCATCAGCTCTGCAGCATGACAGACCCACCAGTTTCACTGTCACCTCATGCCACACATCTCCTACAGTAACCGTGCCAGGTGTCCCCCAGCAAAAGGCGTGACAATCAGCAGCCAGGCAACACTCCACCGAATAGAGGAGACCCAGCCAAAACCAGCTGACCCACTTCCCAGAAACTCTACCCCTGGCTGTCATATCCACCAACGAGGCCCACAGCGTGGACTCCCACACCACCACAGTGAGTGCCCGGACTTAAAAAGGCCTGAATCCCTGACAGAAAAAGTCTTCTTCACATGCCACCGGGCCAGGTCCTGTCCAAGCTCTACCCTCCTAGCACGTACTGCTCTCAGGCACGTGGGACAGTGACCAGGGGGCACAGGACCCTGAACATCTAGGCACCATGAATTCCCCAGTTCAAATGCATGTGAAGCCCATCATTTCCTCCATAAAATGAAGGAAAGTGTAAACTGGGTATAAAATTGGCAAGAGTCCCCCACACTGACACCACCACCATCATATTCCAGCAGTTAAACTTCTCAGCTAAGTAATCAACGGTGCCAAAACCAAAGAAGACAATTCTTCTTTGCCCTAAGTGCTTAGGCATCCGTGTGCTTGGGCATCAGAGGGATAAAACCAAACACCTATTTCTCACAGTTAGCTTATTCTACCATTGGGGGTTTGGTTTTGTTGGTAGCATCAGGCAGAGATATCTGGGTTAAAGTACTGCCTGAAAATAAATGTTCCGGGGCAGAAGGTTTAATATTCTTTGGTGGTGGACCTAGTGACGCTTACTTTCAAAGTCTCCCGGGATGTGGTCGCCTTATCCAGGCTTTTCATTACAACAGACTACTGTGGCTTCCCAGAAACACAGGTGAATGAGCTCCAGATACAGCCAGAAATGCATTCCTGCAAGGGCTTCCTGGCTCACCTCCATTTAGAGATGAGACAGCCCTCTAATCAAATAAAAACGTAGGTCAGTTTTAATGATGGATTTATGTGATAACTAAAACATACATTCTGTTTAAGTCAACAACACAGAATCATGACTGTTCAGATACACTGATGATATGCCTAGACATCTCAGGGTTGGTTGACTAAGATGTTCCTTCTTGCAATCTTCACGACCTGATTTTGCAATCTTCAGTCCCTATCAGCCATAGTTTATTTAGCATTTCAGCTACCACTGCCTGTTTTAAGAGAGCTTACAAAGCATTTAGCCCAATGTAGACTACTTCAATATTATGTTAAAAATAAAAGCATTAACATTTTAGTCTGTGGCTCTTAACAACGGCATAAAAGTTTCTTCAGCCCATACAGCTCAAGCTAGACATAATACTATAGGAATCAAAGACAATAATTTCTTAAAAACACTCTCCACCACTATCTGGGAATTACAGATTACTAAATAGTGACCATCAGAATTGTACCTACCTATGGGTTTTCATGTGCTTTTTGCAATTTAGTGAGGTCTTAAATGTTTTCTGGCAATAGGGACACATATAGGGACGAAGGTCATTATGGATACCCATATGTCGCCGTAAGCTCCCACCAGTAGTGAAAGCTCCGTTACATATCAGACACTTGAAAGATTTTAGTCCAGTGTGCGTTCGGACGTGTGCTTTGAGCACTCCTGCAGAAACAAAGCCTCTTCCACACTGAGAACATTTAAAAGGCTTTTCACCTGTATGTGATCTAAAAAGAATAAAAATTTTCATGAATAAGCTTCTTACAACTTTATAATGCTTTATCTCTAGAGTGCACTCGTACATTCTTTCACTTGAGCACCACTCTTTAAAGCTAAGCAGTGAGAAACCCGAGATGCCGAGAGCTCGAGTGACTTGCCTGAAGCCACACAGGGGGTGCCCTGCGGAGACAACGCTGCGTCAGCAGGCTGCCCCTACGTTCTAAATGCTTTCATGACAAGTCACCGTCTCTTGGGACCGAGTTTCTGCTTTCTTTTCACTGCTGCTAGCAGAAGCATTAATCTAAACGCTGGTGAACACACCTGAAAAACTGCTCAAGTACGTAACTGTAATGCGACAGACCAAGTACTTGTTTGACACGTCCTAGAAATTGCAAATGCTGAAATGTAAGAGGAATGCAAATAAAGCTCAGTGACAATTTCTGGGCAAAATATTTTAGTTGAGACACTAAAGAATGAAGGTATCAGTCATCAATAAATATTTTGGGGTCAAGTGCGACATTTTAAATACCCAAAGCTAACACTACCCTCCTCACTACTCCTCCACATCACCAGCTCACTACACCACTGCATTTCCTCTACGTTTTCCATTTCCAAATCTGTTACCTTACCTGATGTGTTGTTTAAGGTGGCAAGATTTTTTATACGCACGATGACAGTAAAAACACTTGTACGGTCTATCTGCTTCGTTTACAAAATTATTATTAAAGTAACTTTGAAAAAACTGGTTTCTTGGAATGGGCTGGATAAGACCTATAAACCAAAAGAAAATCAGGAATAATTCACTGTTAATGCTACTAAAAAAGTTAAATGTTAAAAAGCAACTGCTTTTCCCAGAAGATGAAAATTTCGAGGAGTTAAAGTATAGATTCCAGTGTTGCTGCTAAATGCTATCTTAATCGTGTTAGAAAAAGGCCCATTGGGGACACTTACGAAGTTCCTCTAAGACAGATACTTTCCAACACAGGGACTATCTGTACATCGCAGCTACTTTCTTTGGGTCTAGAGCCAATTTTAAATGGATTCCTACATTTGTTGGCATGGAATCTAAATAAACTACATCCAAAATGTAGGTTAATCAGGACACTAAATACCTTATTTATTCAGTATAAAGACTGCACCCTAAGTACTTTAATAAACTCAAAACACAAATGATTCTAACATGATCTTCCGTTCTAAAAGCAAGTCAGCATTTTCATAGAAATTTTATTGAAGGGTTATCTGTCAATAGCACAACTGCTAACTTAAGTATTTCAGGTTTGACATACTTTCAGTAAAGGAGGAATCCCCTTAGGTTGACTATGTAATAATATGTCTTGATCAAGCTCCTGAGTTAAATATGCAGTTCAGGATAAACATACACCTGAGCCTTGTGAATCACTTCGCATTCACCTGGAACCTGAAGAGAAAGACCCCCACTGTCCAGGCCCCTGGCTACTCCTCCTTCTCCCAGGACAGCACAGCTGTCCGCCAGGATCCGGGCCCGGCCCCCAACCTCCCTGCTCACTTCACTGCACCAGGATTCTCGGCAGGCCCCTCTCAGGACGCTGCAGTCCCAGCTTCCCCTGACATCCAGACTCCAGCTCGATTCTCTGCCCCAAGGCCTACCTCCCTCTCCCACCTCTCCTTGTACATGACAAACACCCCTCTTCCCGGTCAGACGGGGCCAGGTATTTCAGGATTTCTGACAAGTCCCTTCCCTGTCTCGTTGAGTCATTGGCCAGTGCTGGGGATCCGACTTCTCCAATGCCTCGTAAACCTGTTTCCCCATTTCTATTCCGCTGCCATGAATCTCAAATAATGGAGAAAGAATAACAAAGCCGGAGAGAACTCAGTAGCTCAGCTAAGCCACATCACTCACTCCTCCATCAGACTTAAGTCCTGACACTTGCATCAGACCATTTAGTTTTCAAAGAGAACTCAGAACCCTCCCTTGTGATCTGTGTTCAATCCACCCAGCACAAACCCTAAAGCTGCCAAGACTTTTCCCATTTCACAAGTGTTTTGGACCAGTGAGCCGAATCAGGGCCATGCAGAGACATTCTCTCTCCAGCAGCTCCAACGCTGTTCTGTGCTCCCCGGCTTTTTCCTAGTGACTCCGCTCCCGCTCAAAACAAACAGCTTGAGTCGCCTTTCCCAGGACCCACATACTGAATCTGATGGAGACACCACGATGAAGCGAGCCTCCAAATCAGTGTTCTGCTCAACCTTCTCCCGTCTCGACAGAGCGAACACATGCCTTCAATGGCTTCCTGTCAAGTTCTCAATTACCACGACTGCTCAGCGTGGCATTCCAACACCAGCTCGCTCACCATCTCCACCCACCCGCCCACCCTTCATCCCGCCCCTCTAGACCCCTATGCTCTCGCTCTTTTCTGAGCAAACCCAGCACTTGTCACTGTTCCTTCTCCCAACTCTTTTCCACACTCCACCGGCTGTAGCTTGAGCAGGGGACCCGTCCCAGGGACACAGCTTTGGGCCCATGACACCTGCCAAGGAGGACAGAATACGACCCAATAAATTAGGTGAAGAGTACGGAACGCTCATGTGAATATTCTCCAAAAGGGCAACCAAGAAGAGGGACGTTGCAGGTCACGACTCAGCTTAGGAAGCTGTGACGTTCAAATGCTCACACAGAAGTCTCTGGGGGAAAACGCAACAGCAACTCTCAGGCACAATTATGTGGGATTTTATGCAAATAGGCTCAATAACTATTAGCATAAAAGTACCACTTAATTCAAATGATAAACTCCAAATAAATAGTATCTAATAATCCATTTTCTTGTTCCTTGTTGAACTTAATAGAATGGTTTATTTTTCTTTTTTAAAGACGTATTTATTTATTTGAGAGAGAGAGAACGCTAGAGAGCGGGAGGGGCAGAAGGAGAGAGAGAATTTCAAGCAGACTCCACAGAGCGTGGAGCCTGACTCGGGGCTCGATCCCAGGACCCTGACATCATGACCTGAGCTGAAACCAAGGGTCGGATGCTCAACCGAGTCACCCAGGTGCCCCTGGAATGAATGATTTCTAAGAAAAACATCAATAAAAAAATTTTAAAGTTCACCCCACAACTAAAACGAACTGTACAAATATACAAATTTGATAAATTAATTTTATGTACTTTATTAGATAATATATAAAGAAGCAATGAGAAAGAAAAATATAGAAAGTGAAATAATTTTAAGCAACTAGTTATACAAATTACATAAATTTCTGGAGGTAAGTAAAATAAACGGAATTCACAGTCATTTTGAAAAAGTAAAAGTCCTCCAGTGGTTGTCTTCTCTCTCTTTTACTGGGGGAGGAAGCAAGACACTTCACAAACAAGAAAACAAACTATTGCTTTTGCCATTTTATCTACCAAAAAAGAATAAGCCTCACAAGGAGGGGTGCGGAGAAGCTGTCCGAAGCTCAGCACCGAGTCAGACCTGCAATCAGTTATGAAGGCAGAGCCGTAGGCGAGCGCCCTCCTAGAACCCTGCACTGCGGACACAAGGCTCAGGAGCCGGCAGGCCTGCACGGTTTCAGCACCAGCAGTCACCTGCGCCCCACCTCACGCCGTTAGACAACCCCGCGCTGCCGGCCCACGACACCCGCCCGGCCTTCGCTGAGCGGCCGGTCGCCAGAATCTGGCCAACGGCCTTCACACGGGCCGTCTGCAGCGGGCCTCCCAGCTCCCAGCCCTTCGGAGGCCCACGCTGTGACATGCCGACTCTACACAGGGCCCCCCTCCAGCCACCTACCCAAGCTCCCAACGCTTTCTCTTGTGGCTTCTGGAACCTACGTTCTCCATCACAAACCACTTCACAGAATGTCTCGTTCCTCCCTTCTTTTCCGTAACCGTGAGTCTACGGTCAACAGTGAGTCCCTCGAAGCTGGTACTCTCACTTCTAGTGACAGCTTCTGCTCTGAGTTGAGGAGCCCTGGCCTTGCGCCCGGGCCTGGCTCGGGCCTCCCAACCTGCCATCACTTCCTTCCCAATCCTGCCTGTAGCTCCATGAGCCAGGCCCCCGTTTCCAACTCTCGGGCAGCCTACAAGTGCTCTGGCCCCTTCTCAAATAATTAGGAAGCTCATAAAAAGAAAAACAAAAGAACCTGCACTCAGAGATAATCATAATTACCAGTTGTGTGTATTCTAACAAAAGAGTTTGTTATTATACAAACACAAGTGGGATCAAGCATACACACTGTTCTGGTTATACTTCATAAATATATATTGACTGTCTTTCCAAGTCAGTACATGGGACATCATCCTCATCATCCTTCTGATGTCTGCAAGGAATTCCACTGGACCAACGTATCCAGTTCACGTCAGAGTTTTGATGAATATTTCTAGTGCTTCTAACTGTACAGTGACACAATGTTGCAATTGTAAACAATCTAGTCTACACAACTGTTTACCTTAGTGATTTCCCCCTAGCCAAGGAATTACAAGCTCTAGGATGGTGTCCACGCATATGTATTTAAAAACAGATCCCTAAATGATTCAGAGCCCTTTACAAGTGGGTGGGGGGGGCAGGGGTCCCCTACTTTGAGCTATTAAGGCAGTAAAATAACAGACCTCATTTTTCAGATGCTTTTTCACTTCTAGTAATTTAACAAAGTTCTGTTACACAGTTAGGCTAATTACAAGGTCTCAATCTTTGAAGAAAAAAAACGAAGGGTGAACTAAACATACATAAATGTCCTAAGGTCTTAGTGATAATATGTCATTTCTACTAGATCATCAGTCCATATATGTATACATATATTATTTTAAGGAAACTACTAATCTCAAAGAAAGGCATGAATAAATTCTACTTGATGAATTTTGTGTCTCAAAAACAAACTGGAAATGTCCTTAAAACTTCCTAAAATTCCAGGGCACCTGGGAGGCTCAGTAGGTTAATTCTAACTCCTGGTTTTGACTCAGGTCAATGATTTCAGGGTCCTAAGATCAAGCCCCACATCGGGCTCTACACTCAGCATGGAATCTGCTTGAGATTCTCTCTCTCTCCCACTCTGCCCCTCCCCTCTTGCTCTCTAAATAAATAAATACATACATACATAAAATATTTTTTAAAAAACTTTCTAAATTCCTTCCATGATAACAGAGGAGAAAGCTTTATCTTGTTAGTGTTTGGGGAAAATATATTTAAGTCTTAGAAGAGCTTTCTCATATTGTAAATAGTAAGAAAATGCAAATACAACAAAAAAACAAAATGATGACAAACATAACACACATTATGTATCAAACATAACACACATTATGTATCAAACATAACATATAAAATAAATTTAATATATAGGATTAGACAAATGTGTTAAAAAAAAAAAAAAAAAAAGCAAGATAGGGGCGCCTGAGTGGCTCAGTCATTAAGTGTCTGCCTTCGGCTCAGGTCATGATCCCGGGGTCCTGGGGTCAAGCCCCGCATCAGGCTCCCTGCTGGGCGGGAAGCTTTCTCCCTCTCCCACTCCCCCTGCTTGTGTTCCTTCACTTGCTGTGTCTCTCTCTCATCAAATAAAAAAAAATAAATAAATAAAATATTTTTTAAAAAAAGCAAGATAAATGCTCTAATATCAATATAATTAAAACATGAATATAAACTTGGAAGATCAATCATTACAGCCCTGAGGTTTAAAATAATAGATAACCAAAGCCTGGCTCACTTTCAGATTAAAGTATTTCAAATATCTATGCTACACAAAATGAAAAAACAGTGATACACACATACACACACACACACACACACGCAGAGATAGTGATATATAG